CCGGCATCCATATGGTCCTCCGAGCATCGCCAGGAGTGATCCCTGAGTGCAGACCAGGAGGAGCCCCTGAGCACCCCCAAACAAACAACAATAGCAAACAAACTGCATCGAGAATGTGAAATGTAACAAAAAGCAGGGTCAGGGGTGTGCCTCGGAGCCAGGACACATCCCGTGTGTGAGGCCCTGGGCTTGGCTTCTGGTGCCAAGGGAAACGGAAGCAGTGCTGGGCTTTGAAAGAAGGAAGTTACTGAAAAAAGGAGGGCACTGGCTACACCATTTTTTTTTTTTTGGTTTGTTTTGGCACAGTCAGAGATTATTCCTGGCTGTGCTTGGAGGACCATATGCAGAGCTGGGAAATGAACTCAGACCTGCTGCAAGTTACCCCCTCTCTGATGGCTACACTGTAGTCCTGGCCTGGCTCTCCATCTCTCTGTCAGCTACACTGTAGCCCTGGATCAGCTCTCCATCCTCTCTGATGGCTACACTATCACTTCTAGGGCCTCACTTTCAGTAGGACCCTGGCAAGGCAAGAGGACAGAGCATTCTGGAGCATTTGCTACATGAGAAACTTTAAGCTAATCTGTACATTGAGTCTCTTTTTGTTTGTGGGTCACACCCAGCAGTGCTCAGGGGCTGTTCCGGCTCACTGCTTGGGGAATTGTGCCCAGCAGTATTCAGGGGACCAGGTGGTACCAGGAACCAAAACTGGGCCTTCCTCCACAGACCTCCCATCACTGTCACTGTCCTCCCGTTATTCATTGATTTGTTCGAGTGGGCCCAGTAATGTCTCCATTGTGACAACTGTTACTGTGTTTGGCAGGCGAGATACTCTCGGTAGCTTGCCGGGCTCTCTGAGAGGGGCAGAGGAATCGAACTCAGGTCGACCATGTTGGTTGCTTGCAAGGCAACCGCCCTACCACTGTGCTATCGCTCCAGCCCAGACCTCCTGTAGCTGTGAAGAAAGCTAACACTGAATCTTTTCCTCTCCTCCCTTTAGCTTCAAAGAACAGAAAACTGACACAAATACTCGTGAAATAGCAGACCTTTGCTAGAACAACCTGGAGGTCCTATGGAAAAGGCAGATTATTATTTAAAAAAAAAAAGAATCTCAACTTTTAGGTAGCAAATATGATTTTCAAAGAAATGGGACACCGCTATAGTAACTATTAATACTTCAAATACTAGGCGCCGGCAAGGGAGGTGGCTCACAGTATATTGAGCCGAAGCCCTGGCACTTCACAGTCCCCCAGTGACTCCTACACCCAAACCAGAGTGCACAGAAAACTCCTACAGTCAAGCACTGGGAACACGGCACAGGATTTCTGTTGCTAGCAACCCTTGACCCCTGATGGTGCTGGGGATCGCGCTCACAGCCTCAGCCATGCAAGAGATGGGCTGCATCCCAAGCCCCAGCGTGTCCCCCCTGAAGTTCCACTGGCACCCAGAGTCCTCCAGCATCAGAGATGAAAGCCCCAAAGTGATCCAATGGGGCTGGAGTGAGAGCACAGCAGGGAGAGGTTTGCCTTGCCTGTGACTGATCAGGGTTCATCCCCAGCATTCCATATGATCCCTAGGCACCGCCAGGAGTGAGCACTGAGGATAGAGCTAGGAGTAAGCCCCAAGCACCACTGGGGGAACCCAAAAATCAAACGCAAATGAAGTGATCCAAGGAGGGGAAGTCCCTCTCCTGACACGTCCTCCCAGACACGTTACTTCTCCAGGAGCCCAAGCTGAGGTGACCATGAGCATCTTTGATCACCTTGAATCCAAACTCATTAGCTTAAGGTTTTCCTTCCTTTAGGAATAGTTCTTGAGGGCACCTGCCTTGGAATGAGGTGCCCCTCAGGCTCCCCGGCACCAGAGCTCCCCTCTCACGCCAGCACCGTTGGCTCTTGTGTGAGAGTGGCCTCGGGCACCAACTGACCACCAAATCCCACTGCTGCGTGTCCGAGCTGCTCAGCCAATCCCAGTTCGCACTGACTTGGCCCTTGTGGTCTCTGTTCAACAAGAGGCTCCAGTCAACAAGCCACGAGGATAACTGCCCAGAGAGGAATGGACACGGTAGCCACACAGCTGAGTGGAGGTGGCCAGTGTGGGTCGGGGAGGAGATGCTGAGAGGCCGAGAGGCTGTGTGAGGCCCGGAGAGAGAAACTGGCCAAGCGGGATCAGTGGGCGCAAGACTGTTCATCTGTCCTGGGGCTCCCGGCAGTGCTTGTGGACCATGTGGCGACGCGGTTTGGAATGTTTGAAGCTTCTCAGTGTGAATCAGGCCCCAGCCCTTTACAGATATTTCCTAGGCCTGCAACAGCTCTTAGGACCAAAATGAATTTCATGTATTAGCAAGATTTAGGGTGGGAAGATAAAAAAAATTTTAAGGTCAATATGGTTTAAAGGCCCTCCCGTTGATCGTCGATTTGCTCGAGCGGGCCCAGTAACGTCTCCATTGGAGACTTTGTTGTTACTGTGTCTGGCATATCGAATACTCTCGGTAGCTTGGTTTAGTGCGGTGCAACAAGAAGATAATAATGGGAGAGGAGAGGAAAGGAAGTGGCACCCACAAACATTTCCGGCTGGGCTGTAAGGATGGGGGCAGAGGCACGCGGTGCATGCTGGTGTATCTAACGAGGAGGGCATGTGTTTTTGTAAGTGTTTTGTGTGCTGGGAGTACACAGACTTATGAGCTGAGACAAACAGTAATGTTCTGCACGCCTAATTGATGTGGAAGTGGACTGGTCGAATGGGCCATTAGATTCGCCAGGCCAGACTGAGCGGAATGTCTGGGTGAGAGGCAGAAACGTAAAAGCTGCCCATACTTCAGGCTGTGACCTAGCGGCATTACCGGTGGCAAGAATCAAGTTTCAAAAGATAGGAAATACGCTGCCCCAAAAAGTCTCCGAGTGGGAGAAGGGAGGCATGGGCTAGAATCAGGGCGCGTGTGGCAAGCTCCATCACACCAGTTCTGTTTCCATCCTGATATGACTCTGATGTAGGAAATATTCTGGACCACTCACCCAATACCTCTGCTTGTGTGTGTGTGTGTGCTTTAAAACATGCATAAACATTAACGGAGTGAATGAGCAGATAGCATTCAAGCGATCTTCGAAATATTCCAACAAACACTGGAAGGGCCAGGGAGGCCCAGAGGACTGAAGCATGTGTGTCTCAGGAGGAGGAGCCAGGCTGCAGCCAGCACCTCGGGTGGCCTTGCCCCTGCCCCTGCACCCCACATACGTTCACCTGCTGCTGGGGGGGGGGGGGACACTGAGCACCTCTGGGTGTGGCTCAATGATAAAAGAAAAAAAATCAAGATTATGGCTCTTAAACAGGACATTAGGCATCGTCTGTATGCCAGACTGGTTTCTAATGCTTTCTTTTTCTTTTATCCTGAAGAACTATAATCCCGAGGCCAGGGCAATAGCACAGTGGGTAGGGCAGTTGCCTTGTACACGACTGACTTGGGTTCGATCTCTGGTATCCCATATGGTCCCCCGAGTACCACCAGGAGTGATTCCTTAGTGCAGAGCCAGGAGTAACCCCTGAGCATTGCTGGGTATAACCCAAAAAGAAAAAAGAAAAAAAAGAACTATAATTGCTTACTGGCCTAAGGGTAAAAATAATTTCAGACTAAAGCAGGTAATTTGACTTCTTTACATCAAAAGCTCAAAGCAGCTTTGAAAGAATAATTCTACACTGATTCATTGACTTCTAATGCCACTGCAATTTCACCATTTAGGCAGCTGTTGCCACTGAAGAAGCAACTGTGACGGTGCTTAGTAAACCCCAATGCCACAGGGAACTCCTCAGAAGTGGGGGAACACAGGTCCTCTGTGCCCTGGGAATCCAGGCAGGCTGGGGTTGGTGTCTGTTGCCCTTTTTTATTTTCCCGAAAGCTACCATGTAGGGACCAGGGAGTTATAGCACACAAGCCAAACGCTCAATCAACGCTGCTTCGAAGCTGGCCCACACAGTCCCCTGGGCATAAGGTCTTGTGGCTGAGCATGCCTGGAAGTGGACCCTGGGCCCACTCGGGGGGGGGGGGGGGGGCGGGAAAGCTATCACGGAAATTCTGAAGAGGACAGCCTGTCAGTCAGACAGCACAGCAACCTCCTGAGAAATCGCTTCTGTGTTCTCCTCCCCCCCCCAACACCCGTTTGCATGTGTGTATGCTTCTTCTGTGTCTGCACAGGACCCTTACAAAGCCATCCATCACTCTTGTGTATGCATTCACTGGCCTGAAAAATTCTCTTGGTTCCGATCTCAGACAAGGGCTCACGGGCAGCTCTGCCACTGGATGTTTAAGTGACTCCCATGGCGCTGGCAAAGGCCTATTCCAACAATCGGACCTGCGCTCTACGTGGTTTTGAAGGAGTATAAATAAATCCTCATTTATCATTTTCTGCTGAACTCACACTTAAAGAAGGCTGAAAATTGCATTTTCAACGGACTTTCCATTCACCATCACGTGAGCCCTTGAATATTTTCTCTAAAACTGATTCTAAAGTCAAGGAGAGAGTTTCATGGGAAAAAGGGGGATAAGACAAGTGATCAACTTTTAATATTTCTGGTGAAAGAACAAGTAAACCACTGAAGGGGAAAAAAGTAGTTGAAAGGGAAGGACGGAGATGATAAAATTTTTGAAGTAAGAAATGAAATCAAGAATTAAAAATAGAATTACATTTGCTGTTTGGCAATACACAAACAACAGTAAGTGCACTTCATAAATTTTACTATTGTTGCTCTAAGTGATATTACCATAAATCACATTAGCAGTGTGCTTGGTGTTTTTCAAAAGCAGACAGGATTGGGGAGTGTCAGTAAGCCTCAGCAGCTCCGTTATCTCTGCCGGAGTGGAAGGGCGGCCTTCGGGAGCTTTCACTAGGCCTGAGGGTCTGCCTCTCCCCCACCCCATACCTGCTCCCCCTCACACTCAAACTCAGTGCAGGCCAAGGCTTCACTCTAGCAGGACTGTGAGGAGACGGATCCTCCACCGGTGCCTTTACCTGATGTGTGAGGGGAGACAGCTGCTTGCCCCGCTTCTCATCGCGGACAGGGAACAGCGACTTCAGGAGCTTTGGCATCTGTGGCACAAATGACTTCACAGGATTCAAGTAGGACGTCGCTAGGTTCCCCAGCCCTGAGAAGGAACAGGAGCGGTGTCAGGAGCGTCTTCCTGCCAAGGTGGCGGGGAGCCTCTTTGTGAGTGATTGAGCAGTACCAAGCAAATATTCCAGAAAGCACAGGATTAGGACAATCGCCCTCAAACCCAATGGTGCCTCCTCTCCAAAAGCAGCATAGAACACCTGTGAAAAGGTCCAATGCCCAGGGCTCCAGTAGTATCCGGAGGAGAACCCAGCTCTACCTCTGGTGACCAAGTGGTTCACGTACTAACTTTAGTCTGACAATAAGGTGAAGTTCTCGTTGTCAGGAGAACCTCTGGAGCTGCGGGCCACAAGGGTCAAGCAGGCAGTGCCAGGGCTCGAACCCAGGGCCTGTGCCTGCCAGGCCTGAGCTCCAGCCCTCCAAGCCTCTCCCCTGGCCCTAACATCTTTGTCTTGAAGACACAGACAGTGATACTCATGGAGAATTCTCCATCTGGACTTAGACTCTTCGCTATGCCTTAGTCCACATTAGTTTTCCACACCGATTACCAAAGGAAGATGATGAAACTGGCACGTCAGGATGAGTTGTTTTTATCAGAGCTGGAGAAATGGCCTGAGCTCTCCCTATGCACGGAATTCCCTGAAGAGAAGCACACTATTAGCCCCTCTGGCCCTACCCCGTCCATGTGCACCCCTAAATGACTCCACGCTGGCCCATGAACATGCACAGCTGCCAGGTTCCTGCACTTTGCCCCGAGTAATAGATTAGCACCCAGCAGACTTTAAAAAGGTCAGGCAGGGTATCTGGTAATTATGAGAGCGATCACTGGAAAGTTAAGCAAAGAGACCTCAGCTATAATGGCAAGCAATAGCTTATGTGTGAGTGCAAGAAAATAAAAATATTTTACAATAAAGAAAAGAAAACTTAAAAGACTAAACCAAAATACAGGAGAAAAACAGAAAACAAGTTTTAACTGAATAAAGAGCCAGAAGAACACAATCATTAGATAATGGGGGTGGAGGGGATGAAAATTCACCGAGTGCTATACCCCGCTAAACTAACATTCTAGAATGACGATGATCTTTCATTCAAGAAAGATCTGGCCAAGGACCAACCATATGCTACATTTTCGCAAATGTCCTGACAGCAACATGTTATCTGAGAAGTACATAAGCTCCTCAGTATTTATTCCTCCTCCCCCTTCTCTCTTTGGCCCCAGTGTGGTTGAGGCTCTCTGCCTAACTACCAACTCACAGGAAATACAGCACCTCACTCTTGAAACTGTGGATCAAGACCCTAAAGGGGGTCAGAAACTGAATGCCAGGGTCCTGAAAACTCTGGCAACACTCAAAGGTTTCTGGAGGGTTCACGGCTGAAAATGAATGCAAAGCCAACCCCATAATCAATCTGAGGTGTCCCTGGCAGTGTCTGCCCCTGGGACACTTCTCAGGTGACCAGGGGTGGAGAGTGGAAGAAGTTTAAGAAGGAGGCAGAGAATCATGTTTTAAAATGACCCTCAGGAGAGAGGTAGCAAAAGGGAATGCCCTGCCACAGAGGTAGGGTGGGATGGGGGGGATGGGGGTGGGGGTGGGAGGGATACTGGGATCAGTGGTGGTGGAGGGAGAATGGGCACTGGTGGAGGGATGGATATTTGATCATTGTATAACTGAAACCCAAGCACAAAAATTTCTAAGTCTACAACTGTACCTCATGGTGTTTCACTAATAAAAATTAAAAATAAAATAAAATGACCCTCGGGGGGGGGGGGCGACACCCAGCAAAGCAAGAATGCAAACTCTATACTGACCTGGTCTCAGTGAGTACAATGCGACAGGGAAAGAAGGCAGAGGACCGCGTGGATGAGACAGACTCGAGAGACATCCACTAATCACACTACATAAGCCCCACTGGATCTTCCTTCAAAAAGAACTGCAAGACATTTTTATTCAATAGGGGAGATCTAAACAGTGACCAGATATTTGAGGGGATTTAGAAACCGTTCCAGCGTTTACTTTGTCCCTCTCTGGAGAGACATGGACACAAGCTGACGGACGAGGCGCCACCTGGGCCGTGTGCCAGAGGAGCCATGGGGAGCATGAGGGGGGTGGGGGGAGCAGAGACGTGCCCCGGAAGGGAATCCTCAGGGGCACACTGTGATTCTGTCTACTTTTTACAGGGTTTGGCGTGTTTCGTAGTTGGAGGATTTTCCAAAGTGAGAGCCGACTACGAACACGGACACACAGAAGACAAAGAGCTTCTCACACGAAGGGTGATCATGCAGGCAAGTGCGAAAAGCACGAATGACAGAGACAGTCACAGAAACAGAAGACACACTCAGAAGAGGGAGCAGGGCTCCGGAAGCTCAGGCAAGCATGGACAGTGAGGGTCAGAAAGATAGTACAAGGGGGCATGCGTGGTCCTTGCTTTCAAATGGTAAAGGTAAAAGATAAAGGCCCTCCCGTTGATCGTCGATTTGCTCGAGCGGGCCCAGTAACGTCTCCATTGGAGACTTTGTTGTTACTGTGTCTGGCATATCGAATACTCTCGGTAGCTTGCCGGGCTCTCCGAGAGGGGCGGAGGAATCGAACTCGGGTCGGCCATGTTGGCCGCGTGTAAGGCGAACGCCCTACCCGCTGTTTTCAAATGACCCCAGTTTAATCCCTGGCATCACCAAATACCACCAATGTGCCCCAAACGCCCTCCACACAGACACACACCAAAAACCCACATGTGTCCAGGGGCCGGCTCGGTAGACTGGAGTTGTGCAGGACACACAGGCGTCACCAGGTTCGGTCCCCAGAATTACATGGTTCCCCCAAGCACAGCCTGGAGTCACCCACTCACCCGACCAGAGTGAAGAATGGCCCTGGGGTCCCACTGGGTATGGCCCAAATCAACTCCCCCCATCAAATATAGAATTAAAAAAAACAAAACAAGCTTTGCTCATGGCTAAGGCAAAAACTGGAAACAAACCAAATGTGCCTAAAAGAGCTGATGAAAAATTGTGGAAACTTCAATGGAGATAGTTAACTATTTCTTACAACTAAAAAGGATGGAATCCCAGCATTGCTTATGACCCCTTGAGCATGGGCTGGAGTGAGTAACCCAAAAACAGAAACCAAAAAGCAGAGCATGGGGGATGGGGCCGAGAGGGAACTGGGGCCTGGGACCAACTTGGCATGAGGACTCCGTGTTTCATCCCAGGCACTACACAGCCCTCAAAGCATCTCCCTGGGAGTAGCCCCAGGGCCCTGCCAGGTACAGCCTCCAAACAAACATAGAATGAGACCACAAACCTTATAATCATTAGAAAGACAAAAGGGAACATGATCAAATTGAAAAAAAGGAAAAAATGTGCTTTATCTAAAATTTAAAAATACCCGACCCAAACAAAACTTTTGAAACACTGACTCATAAGGACAAAGTTCCATATTAAAGGAAAAAATAGGGTCAAAGAGATGTTACAGCAGGTGGGGTGCTTGCTTGGCATACAGCCAATCTGGGTTGGATCCCTAGCACCAACCAGGGTCCTCTGAGCCCCACCAAGAGTAATCCTGAGCACAGAGTCAGGAGTAATCCCTGAGCACTGATGGGTATGGCCCCCAAATTAATTAAAAATAAAAAACTAAAGCCATAATTTAAAATCTTCCCACAGAGAAAATTCAAGACCCAGATGACATCGTTGGTTGATTCTGTAAAATATTTTAGAAGAAATTGGTTGGGGCTGGAGCGATAGTACAGCGGGTAGGGCGTTTGCCTTGCACATGGCTGACCCAGATTCGATTCCCAGCATCCCATATGGTCCCCTGAGCACAGTCAGGAGTAATTCTGAGTGCAGAACCAGGAGTAACTTGGGCATCACCAGGTGAAACCCAAAAAGCAAAAAAAAAAAAAAAAAAAAGAAAGAAAGAAAGAAAAGTGGAGCCAAGCTTACATCAAGAGTTGCAGATAAATGTTTCCTGGTCACCCATGAGGTTGAGAGAAGTCTGACCCTACGCTCTACCCAAGGTGAGAGTAGGAGTCAAAGCAGGGAGAGAAGCTTGTTGTCACAGGCTAACACATGCTCTTCGATCAGATACTGGCAAGCAGAACCCAACAGGACAAACAGAGCACCATGACCAAGCGGCATTTATCAGAAATCTTTTAATTTATGGAGGTTTTTTTTTTCTTTTTTTTTTTTTTTAGTAGTAATGCAAGATTGACTTAATTCTCCTAACTCAAGGCGGGATTCAGCATGACAAGACATGGGGAGGGAACTCAGGGGATGGAGTGAAGGCACAGAAACTGCCTCTGGGTTTTCCAGCCCTGGAAAGCGGGGGCGTCCCAGGACAGCTGAGGGTAGACATGTTGGAACATCACTTGCCTGGATCAGGACCGTGGTGATTTGGGGAGCAAGCGGGGAGGGACGGGGCGGCTGGAGCTGTGCCTCTGGAAGCCACCATCTGCGACAGGTCCTGCTGACTCTCCCACCGGCCCTGTGGGGGGAGAAGGAGGTCACCGTGAGGCAGATCTGCAGAGCGCCCGGCCCCGTCTGCTTCCCTGACACCCTTGCTCCATGTCAGCCCCCTTGGATAGCACTTGACTCTCCTGGATTGCTCTCCCTGAAAGAACAACTTGGAACCTTCTTTTGAAATCCTCCCCCTTCAATTCTGCTTCCGAGTTGGCTTCTGCTCTCCCCGCCTCCCCCCACCCCACCACCCAGGACACCGCTTTATTGCAGGCCTTCCCGTCTGACACTCAGAATCTCATGTCTCCTCTCCTCCCTCCTGCCCTGGACATGTGCTTCCATCCCTTCCCAGACAATCCATGGAAGCAAAGATTCCGGAAGAGGAGGCGACCATGGAGCTTGCTCTTTAATCAATAGGAAAGGTAAGTTCCACTTGAACCCCAGTTGAATAATCACAAGTTGCTAAAAACAGCAGTCTCTGAATTTTTGAGTTTTACTGTCTGCTCAACTTATTTTTTGTTCGCATCCCATTAAAAAAGATGCTGGGGATGGAGCCCTAGCATAGCAGGGAGGGCATTTGCCTTGTATGCACTGAACCAGGTTCGATTCCCAGCACACCATATGGTCCCTGAGCACCACCAGGAGTGACCCTTGAGCACTGCTGGGTGTGCCTCCACCCCTACCCTCGAAAGAACTCCACTGCACACTGCTGGTCAGGTGACATTCTCTGGGTTTCCAAGGCTGGAGGAGGTGACAGCATCAACGCCTCACATCTAGTGGAGTGGGAACCACAAGCAGATTTGGGCAGCAGAGCAGCGGCCGTGGCAGGAAGCAGGACCCAGCCCAGCCAGGGCCTCCAACCTACCCCCGAGCCTCACAGCCACTCCACGCTCTTCCTGTCAGCCCGTGAGATAAGGGCAGTTGGCGTTAGCAGATGTCACTGTTCCACAGACAACCGACCCTGGCAATGAACCCGAGTTCCCCTCAGCAGCCGCCTGTAAAGCTCCTTGCTGGGGCGGGGAGGCCTCTTAGGGTTCGGCTGAGTATTGGAAACCTATCCACTCTCCGCAGCAACCTAAGCACTGATCAGAAAATCAATAAGCTCTAAGTGATCTGGATCCTGTTTACCTCAGGGAAGGATGCCACTTTCCCCGGGAACCCTCTCAGCGCTGGAGACTCTAAACCACGGGTTGACGCCTGGCATCGGGAAGGCAGGAAAACTGGGCCTGAAGAGCTGGCCGGGGCCACTCTGCCAAAAGGGGGTCGGGGGTCGGAGCGATAAGACAGCAGGGAGGGTGTTTGCCAGCCTGGGTTTAATCCCTTGCATCCTATAAATTTCCTTGCCAGGAATAATTCCTAAGTGTAGAGCATTGCTGGGTGTGGCCCCCCAAAGGGGAGACCTGGGGTGCTGGATCTGCCCAGTGGCCACCAATAACAGGTGGCTCGGAGGAAGGACCACACACTGATGCACAGCCTCGAGCTCATGCCGGGGCGCTTGCAAGAGAAGCCCCCTCACAGGAAGAGACAACCGTTTGTTTCCTGTCTTCTTTCTTCTCCATTTGGCAGATGACACGGTGGCCAGTGTCCCTCAGGAAAACTAAGGAGCTGACCTGGACTCAGGACCTCGGCTTCGGGGGTGCAGCGGGTCATTTTCCCAGCTGGCACAACCCTGCCAGCAGACAGCGATGGAAGCAATGACTCAACAGTGTGCTTGGGATCTCGGGTGAGAACATCTGCACAGAAGCCGCCACCTTACCCCACCCCAGCCTGACTGCCAGCCCCATCAGGGGACGAGGAGCAGGGACCAGCCCTCCACCCATCACCACCACTGTCCCCTGAGCCTCACACTCACATTGCCCAGGCTGCCCACAGACACTGGCACACCAGCCGCCCCCACCACCTCTGCTGCAGAGCTACAGATTTCCAGGACAAACAGGCTGTAACCTTGCCCCCCTGCCACGGACCCACACACTTCCCTGGGCATTCTCCTGGCATCACTTGCCTTCTACTGAAAACACTTGACTGACTGAAATTACTATTTTTTTTTCCTCCTGCAGTGCATGCCCATCTTCTTACCAGCAATGAAACCTGCATTCCGGAACTCAGTACTCAATGCCCGCCTCCCATCCCCCACCAGGCACCAGCCAATGAGAAGCCTCCTGAAAGCTGCTACAAGCTTGACCAGTCCTGAGGAATTTTCCTTTACCAGGATGCAGGGGTGGGGGGGGGTGGGGGCGTGTAGAGAGAAGATGGGCCAGATCAATACCTCAAAGTTGGGAGAGTAGGCACTAGAAGGAGCTCAGGGTTTACTCTTCCAGAACCACGTGGTCCCCTGAGCCCCAAAACCAAAATGATAAGAAAAAAGGGGGTGTGAGTGCAGAGGAACCCAGGGCAATGGCTTAGAGGACCCAGCTTTGCAGACATGGGGCCCAGCTCTCAGCGTCCCAGAGAGAAGCACGAATCTGGTTTTTAAGTTTTCTATTATACTGTTCTCTACCGCACTGCCAGGAATCCAAGTGGATGCATCTGTCCTCTGCTTCTAACTCAGAGTGCGCGACAAATGGCAGACTTGCCGTGGAGGACGGCAGACAAGAGGCAGCTCTGGCCTTGTTCTAGATCCCTTACCAGCTTCATGTCACTTGTGCCAACAGGCTGAATTCAAAGAACTCAAACCCAAGAACAGATGACTGGTTAAAGGAACTATGATACATCTACACAGTGAAATAGTACTCAGCTGTTAGAAAAACAATAAAGTCATGAAATTTACTTATAAATGGATGGACATGAAGAGTATCAGGCTAAGTGAAATGAGTCAGAAGGAGAGGGACAGACAGAACGACTGCACTCATTTGTGGGATATAAAATAACATAGTATGAGACTAACATGCAAGGGCAGTCGAGACAAGGGCCAGGAGGATTGCTCCACGGTTTGAAGCCTGCCTCATGTGCTGGGAAGAAAGCAGCTGGGATGAAGAAGGGACCACTAAGTCAATGATGGCTGGAGGGATCACTCGGGATGGGAGAGGTGTGCTGAAAGTAGACAAAGAACCAAACACGATGGCCTTTCAGTCTCTGCGCTGCAAACCATGATGTCCCAAAGGAAAGAGAAAGAAGGAAAATGCCTGCCCGAGAGGCAGGGGGTGCGGTGGGGGTGACAGGAGGGATACAGGGAATATTGGTGGTAGGAAATGTGCACTGGTGGAGGGATGGGTGTTGGGACATTGTGTGACTGAAACTTAATTATAAAACTTTGTAAATGTATTTCACAGTGATTCAATAAAAAAGTTAAATGTAAAAAAGCAACAACAACTCAAACCCTCGGGGTAAGCACTTGTCCCAGCGGTGCTGTACTCTGCAGAGCAGCACTGGCCGTGCGAGGCTGGCATGGAAGGCCGTGCGCTTCTCCACGAGCCTGCCGCTTTCCTGCAGCCAGACATGTAATCTTTGGCTTTTCCACTGTCAAGAGTCTGTGTTTATCTGGACAGCGACACAGGTAGGTAGACAGATGTGCTGGCGACATTTCACCAGGCTGGGAGTGCGCGACCTTCGGGATGCAAGTCCCTGCTGAGAGGACGGTCATAAGGCTTGCTGCTAAAGTTTTGTCAGACCTGCTTAAAAGCGAGAGTCTGATGATAATGGAGAAAAACTGAGTAAGAGTAAAGAGGAAGATCAGTGCAACTAGGGCTATCTTATACATTTAATTAAAAGCTTATCTTCTCAAGAGTGATTTCTTATTTAAGCCTTAAGGTTAATTTGAAAGTTGGGGAAAGAGTGACAGAATAGCTGGTAGGGCTCTAGCCTTGCACACGGCGGACTATGGTTTGATTCCCGGCACCCCATATGGTCTCCAAGACTACCAGGAGTGATCCCTGTGCTCCACTGGGTGTGGCCGAATCCCCCCATCACTCCCCACCCCACCCCTCGAAAGTGCCGTTCTGCTCCAGCTATGGGCCTTGCAATGACTAGCTGAAAATCAGGACAGGGCAGGTCGGGGATGGGGAGGTGCAGTATTGCCACTTCTGTCATCTGCAATTCTGATCTTGCAATCAAGACTGGAGAAATGGAAATAAAGAGAGAAACGCAGAAATAGGCCCACACAGCTCACAAGGTAAATGTCACTAAATGTAATTACAGTTTTCTATTATTGCAAAACCCATTTTCAACATCAGCCAGCCCCAGCCGAAATTGTATTTCTGACTAGACTCTCTTCTGCACACAGAGAAACCAACTCAAACGGTCTGGAGCCCAAGAAACGCCTGGTGCCCCATCTCTCTCCCACGTGTCTGCCCTAGAAAAGCACAGCCACCTCATCTCTGATGTTTATCTGAATCCCCTGCTCGCTCTGAGCTCAACCCCTCGCCCCACACTCCAGAGTCTTCTACAGTTAGCAAACACCTTCTTTCCAGGCCTCTTCTGATTAAACACCTTACAGTCTTCATGCCAGGTGACAAGAACACTGGAAAGGAATTGTATACACTGACTGCCACGGATCAGAGCAAGAAACGTCACAGTGTCAAGTTTAGTCATCTTGTAAAAATGACATCCCGGGGCCAGAGCGACAAGGCAGCAGGTGGGGCGCTTGCCTTGCGTGCAGCCCCCAAACTTACTTCTCTTTACAGTTTTAGGAACTGTAATTGCAGTATAATGCAAAATTACAAAATTATAGTACTGGTGATAGAGATCCATGGATGACCGCTGAGGGACACTGAGACAGAGGGGCGGGCATCCTTATCAAGGCTGCTGAGAGCAGACAAGAGTTTGGGTAGTAGGATAGCAAGTGTATCCCACTCATTAGGAAAACCTAATGGAGTAATTACCTCTCCCTGGGTCTCTGAGAACTGAAGAATGCAGGAAATCACCAAAAGAAAAGGAAAAAAAAAGAACAACATAAGTCTTTGCGATTCCTAGAACAATTTCTTGGGTACTCTTCCCTTGGGACTTGGGGAAGACATGGGATGGGTCAAGCAACTGGAAAGCGTTTCAAATCACCGCATCCCACAGAGCAAAAGCCTCCAGCCAGACAGAGGGGTAAGAACAAGAGTTGGACATTTTAACACACTTCCCTTTTAAGAAGATGATTTGTTCATATGATCCCAAGCCGAATTCCTGGGCAAGAGGCACAGTGGGAAATCTTGCCCGCTGTTTCCCAACCAGAGGTCATGCCAATTTCCCTCTGGGCACCAACCTGGGTGCAGCCCTGCAGCCCTGCACCAAGCTAGTGGTCCTTTACGATGCTGACTCGCAGCTCACTGGCACCCACTGCTCCACACTGTAGCTGTGTCTAGAGTGGTGGGTCCATGCTGACAGCATGTGCCTGTGTGCCTGTGTTTAACCAGACCAGATTCCAACACTGCAAACTTCGGGCTGGTGCGTGCCTGCTCTGGGCTGGAGCTCGCTGCCAGGGGCGGGGACTGAACGGGATGTTGACCCGATACCCCACACTCTGAGGAACTTCTGTGTGTGAAGGAGTGTGAATTCAAGGCAATGCCACAGTTAAGATTCCTTTTGTTGATTTACTGGAAAGGCCTCTAGCAGGCAAATGTTTCTTCTCTTGCTAGTAGAAAAAACACTTTACATTAAGAATAGTGACTTTCCCCTGGTAAGAGGTTCTGCTTTAGATGGCAGATGCGCTGGAGGAGACTTCTCTGGAAGTGGGGAGTCCCCTGATCTCCCCGCTGTTGAGGCGAGCCCAGCAGCCTGGAGTTCCCTGCACCCTGTCTTCTGAGGTCCCCTGAATTTCCACCCACCCACATATCACTGCTCCCTGAGCATGTCCTCACAGCTGTTCAAGGATGTTCCCTAAGACTCCCCCTCCAGATGAACTGGGGTCTTGGGTTTCCACATAGGGACACTCGGTCTACCTACTGGTCTGGACATAAGAGCTGTCCACAGAACTGAAACACTGACAACGGAAAGACAGACAGGTCATCTGTCGGGCTGGGGGTGCCCAAAGGAAGCCATAAAGGGAGCACCACCAGGAAGCAAGCATAGACTGGCACTTAGTTTTCCTGACAACACACCCGCTACGGGGACTGGCAGTGATAGCCGGCATCTGGGGGGTGGGGGGGAGGGAGGTCACGCTACAGGCCGCAGCCACACCGACAAAGCACAGGGTCTCTTGAAGGCCCCTGTGAGTACAGAAACAGACACGCTCACCATTCAGGGAGACCGAGGCCTGCAGAAGAGTCTCAAGGAAGTGACCCAAGAGTGGCTGCTGGGTGTGACCCAAAAATCAAAGACTTTTAAAATCAATGTTCTAAAAACAAAGCCCACTCAGTTTTTCTTATTAAATAGCCTCTCTTATTTTAAAAATCTATACCCGATTCCTCTCTATCCCTCCCTTCGGGGATCACCCAAATTTTATAGGGAGAAGTTGACTATTTACCTCCTTCAAGGCAAAGACCCATGATGATTCTTTATTCAGGGTATTATTAAGTCCACCATCCAACAAGAAAGCTGCTCTCTTTGTGACGGAAACTGAGCTATGCCACGTGACATCTAGTTATGACAATTTTAAAGGAACTGGATTTCTTTATGTGGATGTATGGTTGAGACTTGGTTAAATATTTACTATACAATCTAATAACTAATCATTGGTACAAAGTTTCCATTCCTAGTTTTCTTTTTTCTGACAAATAACATTGACTTATTGGCATAACTGTAGACCCTTTTTCCATCATTCCATCAGCATCAGGCTCATTCAATTAACACTTACCTTGTAGCTGCCTAGACTATAGGTGGGAATAAGGTCCTGGCGGCTGCCGGAGAGCTGGAGAAGAGAGAAAGAGGGATTAGCCATTAAGCAGTAGCCCGTGAGGCCGGGGGTCCCAGTCCCGGAACGTTGGAGTGAGATGGAAACGGAGACACTGGAGATTAACCCTTCGCAATATGGGGCTGGGGAGACCATTTTTAAACAGAACTAATTCTCAACAATGTTAAGGTGGGAGGTTTGATTGAGACCAGATGCTGTTTGTACCAGGGCAACAGCTGGTGGGAATGTGGGGGTGGGGGTAGATGGGGACAGGAAGGAGAGAGGCAATGCATCTGTGCAGGCCCCACCCCGTGGCCCCTGGGATGCTTTGGGGCTTCTTTCTGCATCACCAACTGCTGATGGACACCCTAGGTCCTCAGCACTGCATCTGCAGACCTCACCAAACTGGGCCCTGTGTGAGCTGAAGGACAGAGAGGACATTTCTCTGGAAGCCCTCAGGCCGCAGTCAGGGGCCCAGGACAAGCTCTAGGGCTGAGGGAAGCTGCCGGGCAGTGACTCTGTGAGCAACACAAAAGCCGAAGATTTCTCAAACCACATCTTTATCAAAAGTAAAGGGAAAAAATCTTTGTAAATATTGTTTACATAATCAGTATGGGCTGGAGTGATAGCACAGCGGGAAGGGCGTTTGCCTTGCACGCAGCGAACCCGGGTTTGATTCCTCCATCCCTCTCAGAGCAGCCAGTAAGCTGCCGAGACTATCCCACCCACACAGCAGAGCCTGGCAAGCTCCCTGTAGCATATTCAATATGCCAAAAACAGTAACAACAAGTTTCACAATGGAGATATTACTGGTACCCGCTCGAGCAAATCGATGAACAATGGGAAGGACAGTGCTACAGTGCTATGACCAGTATGCACTTAAACTATGTCTTTTTTTCTTAAAAAAAACAAAACAAAACAACAAAACCACAAACATAACACACTGTTATGAAATCTCATTATTTTTACTCATTAGAGTCTGCAAGGCCTGTGAGCGATTGAGTTTGTAACCCTAGTTCAGACTTCTCCTCAATTTAACAGTTAATGAAGTTAAACTTTTCACTGGGTTGCCCTGGGCACCCGGCGAACCCTGCTCGAGTCCAACACTCACTGCTGCCATGTCTAGGGGATGTGCCAGTCAGAAGAGAAGGTTCTGTAGGGACCGGCCCCGAGACAGAGGGCCAGCAGATGCCACCGGGGGCTGCGTGGGGCTCTTTGACAGCACAGGACAGGAGGGCGTGTGTGGGCTGGGAGCGCGGGGCTGGGGGCTGGTACTCACTCGGTTCACACTGGGCGAGCTGATACTCCTCCTGCCCAACTTCCCCTTGCCAGTCAACTGCTCCTTCACAGCCACTTCCTGCCATCCGCAAACACGTGAGGAAGAGGAGGTTAGCACCCAGCAGTACTGCCCAACCTCCACGTTTCCACGCTCTTCCTAACCAGGCCTCTTCTCCTGGCAGCAAAGACCCGCCTGCCATCACTCTGGAAGAGCCCCAGTGAGTCACGCTGCACGGTGTCCCCACCTCCTTCTCTTGCTTAGCTGCCAGCGGCCCCAGTGACTCCCAGAGCAAGAACGCGGGAATCAGAGCACCCCGCATTTCTTAGCGCACCCGTGCTTCAGAAATGGAGCTCCCGGTGTGGCAAGGTCACATGAAGGATCACGGCGTAAGGATCACGGCCTCTCTCCTCTCCCTCCCAGGGACCTGCTCAGGCTGTGGCAGCCGTGCTGAGCTGAACAGAGGGGGCCTGTACTGTCTCAGAGCGCAGGTCACTGTTAATGTGAAGTACTTCACAGGGATTTGGGCAACAGCATTCGAAGCATCTCGATACCATTGGTGCCGTGAAACAGTGATTCTCCCCGGGGAGACCGAGCAGGCCTATGAGATCTACAGATGCCGGCCAGCGCCTGGAGGGGACGCCAGGAGCGAGGCCCACCTGGGCTCACCTGGCGGAGCCGGTCCAGCGTCAGGAGATTCTCCACAGCCAGTACACTCCGCAGGTACTTCTCGATGTATGCCTCCGAGTCCGCAGACGCCGTGCTGCCAACATTTGCTGCCATTCTCGCTAAGGTCTCTCGTTCCTCTACACCCTGGGCATCCTGGAGGAGATGGGGAGTTATTAGGAATGAGTGGGTGGCTGAAGAAATCACCGCCAAAGCTTCTTGATCTGCAGGGATGTCAGCCGGCACGCCATGCTCCAGGAAACACACTTCCCTATAGAAATCAGGGGCTACAGGCCGGAGCGACAGCACAGCGGGTAGGGCGTTTGCCTTGCACACGGTCGACCTGGGTTCGATCCCCGGCATCCCATATGGTCCCCCAAGCACCGCCAGGAGTAATTCCTGAGTGCAGAGCCAGGAATAACCCCTGAGTATCGCTGGGTGTGACCCAAAAAGTAAAAAAAAAAAAAGAAAGAAAGAAATCACAGGCTACATGGTGGTCAGGCTAATGGGAGGCCAGCCAAATAAACAAGGCGGAGTGCACAAGATCAACCAGAGGTGCTCAGCATCTTTTCACTGTAACAGAACCATGATAGGTTAGAAGGGGCTCAGAGTAAGGGCTGGAAATGCACTTGGGGGAAGACAGCCTGAGAAGCAAGAGGCCGGAAGAGGAGGGGCAGGCCAGGGGGGTCCAGTCACCCCCAGAAGGGGCAGGCACAGGCACAGAGGCTGAGCGGGAGGAGTGTGAGGTTTCTGCTCGCTTCCAACAAGTCCCCCATGATCACACCTGAACATGGAGGCAGCCTGATCTCGACCCCCAACTGGGCTGCGGCAGAGACCAAGGGCCTAGCCTAGGCAGAGAATCCGAGCGGTAAATCCTTGCTCTGCCAGTAGGGGGAGCCGCGCCCACCTGGGCCCCAGGGCAGGGTCTATTTCCCCATGAAGAACAGTGACAAGAGCCAGCCCCAGAATATCTCCTTATGTAGAGCAAACTGGACCCCTCACAAATTCCCCTTCTCAGGGAAAATCAGATTCTTTACTTATAAATTTGTTACAATACTGTCAGACATGAAAAAAATATACATCCATATGTCACTTCATCTTAAAATGCCAACTATAAGGGGGAAAAAAAACCCATTATTTTATATCCCACTGCAGAGAAAAACAACTCTGCCAAGTAATTTTAGGCTATTTATTAATGACAGGACACATTCCAACCTCAGGCTTATTTTTGAAATTTTAAATAAGTCCCAAGGCAGAAAAAATGTGGAAGAATTCGGAGGATGGTTGAAGTTCCAAAAACTATTGTTTCCTAAAGTAATTCATTTGATTCGTGAGCCTGGAAAAAAGAAGGGTCCTTGATTTCCTAGAGGAAGAAAGAGGAAAGTCACATGATCGGCCAGACAGTGCCCAAACTCAGGCCTTGACTCTGGGTATAGCGCTCTTTCCATGGCTCTACTTTCCAGCCACTGAAAGGAACATGCACTGAAGAAGGGAAAATGAGGTGCTCTGGCGGGCAGGGAGGGTGCTTCCAACAGGAGCTCAGGGAGTCACGTCCTGGGTTCTCAGCCGACTGGGTTGGCAGCTGGTGCTAAGGCATGAGGACACAGAGACCACCCACTGGTACTAGTGGGCTTCCAAAAATACACCTTGGGTTGCTTGGGAGACCACTTGGCTCCAGGAATTGGACCCAGGTCTGAAGCAAGCAAGGTCTGTGTCCTGGGCCCCAGGAAGTGAGTGCTGCTGGGTCCAAGACAGAAAGCATCCTCCTTAGCTCGAGGACTGCCTCTGGGCCTTCATACTCAGGCTCCACCCTCCCCTCATGCAGAGTTTTCCACACACACTACCTGATTCAGAACTACACAGGGTCTAGCTTCCTGAGCTGAGCGTGATAGTGAGACCCTTTCAGAGACCCTTTGTCTTCTGCCTGCCTTGGTGTGACGCTGTGTGGATAAGCCTCCATGTATTTAGCCTTGCATCTGCTGGGAGGTGTCTGGGTTGATGTTTAAGGTCATTCTGGGCTAAGCAGTTGTGTGTTTTCTTGTTCAAGTCTTTGTGGGAATATGCTCTCATTCTCCTTGGGAGACAGTCTCCTCTCCTCTCCCCTACCCCTCTCTTCCACCTCTCTCTCCCTCTCCTCTTTCTCCTCTCCTCTCCCCCCTCTCCTTTTTCTCTCTCCCTCTCCCTCTCTCTCCTCTTTCTCTCTTCTCTCTCTCCCTCCCCTCTCTCTCTCCCTCTCTTCCTCTCCTCTGTCTCTTCTCTCTCCCTTTCTCTCCCTTCTCTCTCCTCTCTCTTTCTCTTTTCTTCCCCTCCTCTCTCTCTTCCTCCTCTGTCTCTGTCTCTCTCTCTCTTCCATCCCCCACACCCCTCCCTCTATGGTCATTTCTTACTATTAAGTCTTCCCAGTGCCTATGAAATGGGGAGACCTTTTTTTTATTTGGGTGGCCACACCCCATGGTGCCTAGGCCTTGTTGCGGGCCCCTGCCCAGGGATAACTCCAGGGCACCATAGGCAGTGCCAGGGACTGAACTTGGGGGAGCAGGATCCAAGGCCAGCATCCTTCCCACTGCACCATCCTGAGGGCCAGGGGGAGGCTTATTTCATAAGGAAAGATTATTGAGAAATCTTTTCATTTTGTTCTTAAATTAAAAAAAAAAATAACTAGTCTAGGGCCCAGCAGGTAGGATGTTTGCCTTTCTTTTTTCTTCCTTGTCCTCCACCTTCCTAAGTTCTATCCCCAGCAACTCATAGGGTCCCCTGAGCCCCGCCAGGAATGATCCCTGGGCCCAGAGCACTGCTGGCTATCGCCCTCAAACCAAACTCAGTCTAGCTCTCATACCATGTGCTTAAAGTGTTCCTTTTCCCCTTTTTCATGAGGATAAAGTAAATACAACACAAATGTCTAGTGCTAATTATCAACAGGAAGCTTTTCACTCACAGAAGGCTTTTTCCAATTGCCTTCACATTTCTTCCCTCTGACAGCCACGTTGCCTGAAGAATAAAAGCCCTTTTGGAGAGGCCGGAGCAATAGTACAGAGGGGAGGGCATTTGCCTTGTACCTAGCTGACAGGGTTCAATCCCCGGCATCCCATATGATCCCACAATCACCACCAGCAGTGATTCCCGAGTGCAGAGCCAGGAGTAACCCCTGAGCATCACCAGGTGTGACTCTCCAAAAAAAAGCAAAACAAAAAAAAATCCCTTTTGGAGAAGACAAGGGAAAGGGAAGGACAGTGCAGGGGAGGCCAATAAAAAAAAAAAAAGAAAAGGAAGTTGGGGACAATGGCCTGGGCTCTTCCATCTTTTATGAATGAGAAGGTGTTGGTGTTGCTTTTCCTCAAAAATCTGTCCTCTAATAAAACAGTGAAAACCAGAACCTTCCCAGTCACAAGGACATTGTACTCTGAATTGAGTTAAGATTAGGAAATTCCTCTACAAACACAGAGATACTATTTCTCTCAATATGCTTTCTCATAGAATATGTGTTTCTTGAGGTGAGTGAGTTATGAGAGAGTTGGCTCTTTTTACCTGTTTATTTTAAGCGAATTCAAGTTTCATATGATCCTTTACCTCTGGAATATTGGAGACAATTTCAAAAGTCACTCCGCAGCCAGGAATAGAACTTCGATGAGACATCTTTTTTAGGATACTTTGAGCAAAACCCTAGAGAAAAACAAAATAGAAGACACGGTTTCCCACCTCAAAAAAAAAAAAAAGTTTACATTAACAGGGAAACAGCATAAAGAAAATGGCATTTGCTCGAACCAAAAATAACCAGCACCAATTTCCAGTATCAGCAAGCTAGAAGCCACACCATGAAGGTGGGTTCCTCCACCCATCTAAGGTGCACAAAACTGATGTGCCGGGTGTGTGCCGTGCATCAGGGCCCTGGCTGGGTTCACACGTGGCGAGCACAGAGGCAGGCTGAGCTGGTCAGTCAGAAACTGACGCCCAGCATTGACCCAGCAACCGTCTGCTGACTCTCTACACTCAAATGACCTGACAGTGGGCAGGCAGGGACAGTGAGGACTCTTCTCTTTTTTTGTTCTCTCTCTCTCTCTCTCTCTCTCTCTCTCCCTCCCTCCCTCCCTCCCTCTCCCTCTCCTTCTCTCTCTCTCTCTCTCTCTCTCTCTCTCTCTCTCTCTCTCTCTCTCTCGCAGCACGATGGACATCTTGTACCATGAATATTGACAAGTTCAGGCATTAAATTCTCGACCAAAGCAGGATCGTTATGAAGGATGATTTAAGAGCGCCTGGTCATTGTTTATGCTGACGGCGCGCTCTGCACGGTTAGGAACTGAACTGTTGAATCAATGCATAGATGACTCATTTGAAGACGCTGCTACGACTCAGTGGCCTGCAGAGGCCAGAGAGAGCAGGGCGAGGGCGGAAGACGATCGGCGAATAAAGATAAGGAGGGGGACTATTAATCTCACGCGGAACCTTTTCTCCATGCAAAAGGAGTATCCGACATATGCAAAATTCCCCAAAGAGTGGAGAAAAATCAAGTCGTCTGGTCTTAGAATTCCATAATCCCAGACCTGCTTAAAAAATGATTTCTTCTCCATTCTCCGACCTTCAGTTCATTTGTAAAAAGATTTTAGCCTCTCCGAATACAAAGACCGTTTCTATTTTTTTAATCCCTCTGAGCTCTCCCCTTCAGCCGTGGACACCGAGCTATTTGCAGATCACTCTGGCCCAGCAGCAACTGCGGGGGGGGGGGGGGGGGGTGTCAGCGAAGCTAGGGTGCTTGTTTCCTATTTGTGCAGGTGACTCTGATTGTCTTCAGATCCGAGTTTGTCCAGGCTGCAGGAATGAACTCCCGGGAAGTGGGAGGGAAACCCCTAAACCACCACTGATCATTCCAGCCAGCGGGGATGGATGCAGCCAAGTGCAGCCACCTCCTGCACCAACCATGAAAATATGAATAAAATCAAAATGAAACCCCGGAGGAGACCCGGTGACCCCCAGGATGCCTCCTGCCCGTCAGGGGTGTGCGGGGCTGGCAGTGGAAACACCACAGCCCAGAGCCAGCCCTAGAACCTAAAGCCCGGACATACTTCCCCCACCCCCAGCACCTGTGTCCCCACCCTTCCTCAGCCTCTGCGAAGGTGAGGCAGGGAAGGCGAGAGAGGCATAGGCGGCAAAACCGTTAGGCGTTAGCCCGCCGGCCTGGGTTTTATTGATGTCAGATCACCAAGCCGCGGAGCTGCAATCCCACCAGCATTAACGCCGGTCTTCATTTCCAAGATTGATATCGGTGTGACATTTGGAACTAAAGATTAATTTTTAGGGGTGGAGATTACATCTAGGACTCTGCCAGCCATGACTGTGCTCTTTTACAATGGAAAGATTTATTTTTCTCTATCCTGTTTTAGTCGGTAAATTGAGAAGGCCTCAGAGAAGTGAGTCGGGGCGGGTCAGGGGAAGGCGAGGGTTGCGGCACCCGACGCCGGCCTCATGAAGCCAGCCCTCACTCTCCCTCCACAGATCTACACCTTGCCCGTGGCCACCTGGGGCACCCCGTCTGGCTACATCTGCCCACCCCTCCCGTCCCCTCCATGGCATTTGCTCGTATCCTCTGCCCACTGGCCTGGGAGACTGATGTGCGTGTCCCTGCCACAACAGCGAGATGGCCGGGCTCACACCTGCCCCGCAGCCCATGAGCTTGGTTTTCACTCCAAAGTGTTTTTTACTGCGTGTTTTTTACCCCAAAGCCTGGCAGAGTCGCTCTCCAAACTCACGAGCTGACACAGGAGGCAGTGAAGGGAACGGCACCAGCGCCACAGCCTGGCAGTAAGGCTCGGAGTTCTGGGGGACCCCAGACCAACAATCACCACCAACACAGCTGGTGGTACCCAGAGCATGCAGAGTCAGGGAGATTCGGCGCAGCCCTCTGATGTCTTGGGGGAAGCCCTGCTGCTGCTAGTTTCCGGGTCGTATGGCTGTGGGGGGCAGAGCTGCACGCTGCCTGCAGGCCGAGTTTCCACGCGGGAGGGCTGTGGCGTGGGGCGAATGTGCTTTTCCCCCAAAGTACGACTTTGTCAGCCCATGTCACCTCAATTTGAAACCAACACCACCCGGGAGGAGGTCAAGGCCGCAGAGTTCAGGCCTGGGGAGTGGCTACAGGCCAGAGCACCCCAGGGCTCCTGGCTGCTGTCCGGCCACCACCCTGCCCCTGGCTGCAGCCTCACCTGCCGGCCGTGAACGTGGACGCAGATGCGTTTGCGCAGCACCAACTGCATGTTGGCCGGGTGGCTCAGCTGCACTGTCACCCGCACAATGAGGAACACGCGCTCGTCGGCCGGTGTCCCTCTACTGAGCTGCGGGCAGCCGTGCACCGCCGAGTCCCACGATGCCTCCACCTTCGCCTGTGGACAGGACAGAGGACATGAACGCCTGCTCTTCCCCGGGCACCCCTGGGGAACCCGCGCCGGGCACACTCTGGTCTGCCCCATGACCCTTCCGGAGGCTGCGGGGGGAGGGTGCTTCCTTGGGCCCAAGACGGTAGGAACGGAATGCTCCCAGCCGGCTGGTGGCTCTCCCATTTTGTCAAAGGCCCTCCCAGCACAGAGAAAAGTGGCAGATTCCGTGTAGCGGATGTCGATCTTTCATCTGCTGCAAACATTCTGTCGCTTTTCCTGCCTTGCTCATAGCACAGACACACACAGAATTAATTTTTTTGTGGCATTAATCAAGAGGAGGAAAGAGCAGGGGCTGTGGCTTCAGTGAGGGGTGCCGAGGCTGCCTCCCTCTAGCCCAGAGCCCCAGCAAGCTGCCAGGTTAGGAGCTCGGGCCTGTCTGTGGATTCCTCATTTGATTTTATTAAAAGTAAAGTAAAGGCCCTCCCGTTGATCGTCGATTTGCTCGAGCGGGCCCAGTAACGTCTCCATTGGAGACTTTGTTGTTACTGTGTTTGGCATATCGAATACTCTCGGTAGCTTGCCGGGCTATTATTATGATTATTCACTGTCACTGTCACTGTCCTCCCGTTGTTCATCGATTTTCTCGAGCGGGCCCAGTAATGTCTCCATTGTGAGACTTTGTTGTTACTGTGTTTGGCATATCGAATACGTCACGGGGAGCTTGCCAGGCTTTGCCATGCGGGCGGGATACTCTCAGTAGCTTGCCGGGCTCTCTGAGAGGGGCAGAGGAATCGAACTCGGGTCGGCCATGTTGGCTGCGTGCAAGGCAAACGCCCTACTTGCTGTGCTATCGCTCCAGCCCCGGATTCCTCACTTTAGACCTCACTTCTGCACCACCGTCAGGAACACCCCTAAGGAAGGCATCTTCGAAGGTGTCACACCTAATTTCACTTCTTGAAACCAAAGCTTACACCCTGGCCTTAAACGCCCAAACGTCAGAGCAAAGGCCAGGAACTGTGAGAGAGCCTCCTGTTGGTCCTGTGTGAGACACGGAAGCATAGAAGCCAGCACTGTGTTAAGAAGTCAGGGAGACACGACTGGGCAGGACTTACCTCTCCGTCCAGCTCCTTCACAATCTGCAGCTCAAAGAACTCGTCCTCTTCTTCCCCGGTGAGGGTCGCGTCCCACCCTCCAGCTTCCGGGTCATCGAGGTTATCCTGGGAGCTGAAATCATCAGCTGAGAGCGAGGAAGTGCTGGTAAGTACCGAGCAGGGCCAGGGTCATCGCCACCCACTAAATGTCAATATGCCCAGGATCTCAATTCTTCTGCCTCCAATTTCATTTGTTTTTGGTGCTGAAATCTTACATGCCTCGGATGATGACCATTAAACCGTTCGCAGATGTTAGAGACAGGAAGTGCCGCAAAAATGAACGGATCCAATCTTTTACCTTAGGCCTTACTTTATATGAAAGCCAAGCTATCCCAGAGGTCACCCAAGGTCAGCCCTCAAATGTCAGCAAGGACTCACACCCAAATCCCCTCCTTTTTAGCACACCAAAGAACAAAAAGCAATAATAATCCTTGTGATCAGTGTGTTCAGTATAAGAATCAATTGGCCACACAGGGACTTCAAGGCTGCGCTGCCCTCTCTGGGCAGTTAGGCCCAACCAGAAAAAAAAAAAAACCCACCGAAACCCCTATTACAAACAGGAGCACGGAAGGGAGTACCAGCAGGAAAAAAAGCTGGCAGAAGTGAGCTCATGAAGCGGGGCTAAGCAAACAGGCTGCAGGACACTGCCGTTGGCAAGTCCCCGGGAGGCAGCTGCCACCCTGAGATGTTGGGGAGGCAGGCACCCTGCCACCATCCCGGGAGCAGAGTGAAGGATGAGGCCATGTGCCCAGGAGACAGACCCGCTGCGGGGGCCCAGAGAAGGTTCTCGCACAGCATTCGTGTGTGTTGCACAAGGAAGCTCTCTGGAGCTCCCTCAGCACCACCCTGGAGCCAGGCAAGGGAGAAGCCCATGTCACTGGGGCACTTGGCACCTGGGGTGACCCTTTGGAAAGCACCTCTGCGCTTACCGCTTACCGTTTAAGTCCAGGAAGATGACTGGGATGTGCGTCTCCATGCCAGGCACCGGGGTCCTACAATGTGAGGGACGAAGGCACCTCAGAGCAGACCTCTCCCAAGCCTGGGGGACAGGCTTCCAGAGCCCACCCCCCAGACACCATCTGCTGGCCTCTCCTGGAGCCCTCGGTGGGATTCCCACAGGACACCAGGGTGCTGCCTGACAGGACATTCTCACGTGCCCTTGTTTAAACTTGGGATCTCAAAGAAGCACCCGCCCTGGGGCCAGTGGAGCTTCAATTCCTGCTTTCCATTTCTCCCAAGTGGCCCAGGACATCTGCTGACAGTTCAAGTCAGCACCGAAACCAAAACCCCTGGACAGGCAGTTTCGTGATGACCAAATGGGCCTGAAGGGAATGACCCAAGTGATTAACATGGGCGCTTTCCTGATGCTAAGTGCGGCGGTACTAAATATTGATTTAGATTCTCAGAAATCTTAATTACTTGGGCCAATAACAATTATTTGATAAAATATGGTTTTAGGCCACAGTGGTTCCAACTTATGAAAATAATTGAACACTTCAGCCAATTCACACCCTGTTTCCCTGGGGGCTGTGTCAAATCTCCCCCAACTCTGGTGGAGATCAGGCTGCCCCCACACACCCACCATTCCGCGGGGGCCCCCGGGATCCCGCTGCCAGCTGAGGGCACCATGACGGCGTTCCTCTCCTCCGTCAGTGTCAGCCTCATCTCCAGAAGCTGCGCCTCCCGGTCCGCATCATCCTCGGATTTATCTAGAACGTCAGGAGGGAATACCAGAGACAGAGTCTGAGAGGCTGGCGGGGAGGGTGTGTGTGTGTGTGTGTGTGTGTGTGTGTAACAGCTTGTTTTGTTTTCTCTTTTGACTTGGAATGTTCAGAGAGTGGGTGAAAATCAAGTGGGTTCTAGCAGCTTGGGGCTAGCTTATTTCCTTGGCTCTGCCTTTTTTGTTTTTTCTTTTTTTTTGAGGGGGGGTCATACCCAGCGATGCTCAGGGGTTACTCGTTGCTCAGGAATTACTCCTGGCGGTGCTTGGGGGACCATATGGGATGCCGGGGATGGAACTTGGGTCAGTCGCGAACAAGGAAAACACCCTCCCTGCTGTACTATTACTCCAGCCTTGGGAGACAGCTTTAAAAGCTGGGGTGCTCACATAGCACGAGAGGTCCTGGGGCGCCATCTCTAGCACCCCACGCTCTCCAGAGGGAAAGATGAAGACCGTGGGCAGGCAGCTCACACACTGGTCTGTGTGGACAGGAGCTAGTGGATGAGGACTCTCAAGAAATGCCTCCCTGGATCAGTGATTATAAAATTCACAGCGGGAAATAGATGGGAAGCCAGAAAGATTGGGGTGCAGGGTAGCAGCACCAGGTCACCCCCCAGCACCTCTGCTGGTGCTCTTGGTGTGCCTGGGTCTTCGCTGCCCACTGGGTTTGCCCTGTGCTGGGGGAGGGGTGGGCTCGCACAGCTCCCAGCCAATCACTGCTGGATCAGTGTTCCGGAAGAGTTGGCAGGGGGAGCTCATTCCCCTGCACCACTCGCTCCTGGAGCACTGTCAGTTGTGTACCGCTGGGGTAGCCTCCCCAGGCTGAACTCTGGACCGGCGGAAATCAGAGATGGGGAGGTACTAGGGAGCCACCCCAGTACTCGTGAGCACTGGGCCCGCGAGACCCTCTCGTAGACTCCTGTTATCCTCACTGCTGGCAGGACAACCTGACGGCAGAGGATGAGGGGGACGCGCCCCTCACTTCTCCTACCATGTTTGCTGACCAGCTTCTGCAGCTGCTCGTCGAGGTACTCCTGGCGTTTTGTTAACGCGTTCAGCCACTTTCTCCGAAGCCTCTCTAAATCTCGATCCTAAAAGACAGTGGAAATGGCAGCAAATGCAACACCGACCCCTACATCCCAAACACAAGCTCCACCTCAGCTGCCTCCCCCATGGCCCAAACGTAAGGTCCTAAGGTCTTCCCCGCTGCCTGGAGCTCAGTCTGGCGCCTCGTGGCGCTGGACGGCACTGAGGAATGATGCTCTTCGGTGCTGGTACCCATGCCTGGACAGCTGTGGCTTGGCGGCATAAGGCCACGCGCTCGGGACTGAGCTGCTCTGTGGGTCACTTTGCTGGATGAAAATCACAGTGTCACTGGCCTCCAGGAGCAGGTAAACACCTGCTTCTCCCCCGGAGACTGGCGGGCGGGGGTCGCAGACTACAGACTCCTCTCAGCACTTGACTGGGTGCCCGTGTGACCTCACTTCCTCCATAACGAAGTTACCAGCCGGGTTGCTCGGTGGAATGCCAGCTAGAGAGAGCGTGCGCCTGGATCTCACCAAGGCACTTAACCAAATGGCTCCTGACATTCTTGTGGACAAGACAGAGAAATGTGCAATGGGTCGACTTGAATAAAACCCCAAATGGCTGAGAGATCCCATCCAAAGAACAGTGATTAATGGAATAACGTCAGCCTGAAGTAAGGCTCCGCCATGGTGTCACAGGGCAGTTCAGCCCTATCTGATACACTCCTTTTAATCAAGGACTTGCGGGAGGGCAGACGTTTCTATTAAATTAGAACGGTGCCAAACCAGGAGAGTGACTACACTGGATGACATAATCGGGATCCAAAGAGCCCGATGGCCCCAAACAATGACTAATGAGACTAACTAGATCAAACTTTACAGACAGGAAATCTTGCAGGGGATCAGAAAGGAGGAGGGAGCGGTGGGAGGGGTGGGGGGACAGACCAATTCCAAACCTGCAGGATGCTAGGCTCAGCAGGAGAGACAGACTGACTCTCCCAGGGGTCCCAGAGGGGGAGCCCCAGCTCTGGGAAGGGGGGGTGGGTGATCTACACACAGACCATCTCTGACTTTAGAGTCTGGAACACTCAGTGTGTGCTTCTGTTGTGTTTGGGGAGAAGCCACATTAAATGAAATGTCTTTATTCAGCATTGGTTTGGCCAGACTCACTGGACACTTGAATCAATCTTATTTGATAACGCTGACCGGCACTTAGTTACCTGGTAGCTGTCCATGTCCTCCTCTTCCTCCTGAAAAGAGAAAAAAAAAAACACGGATTACACAGAATCCAAGCACGCGGGAGTGGGAGTGGGGAGAAGCCCAGACGCTTCGCACAGGTAAGGCACTAAGGTGCGTGCTCTGCTGTGGACCTACAACTGGTTCTTGATCCGAGAGGGAGGCTGAGCAGAGCAACGGGCTCCTTCTCTGTGCCTTGTGTTTTCTTACTGAAGAACAGAACGTTTCCTCGCCTGTCTCCCTGCCCCCACCGCCCGGCCCTCAGTCTTGATTTTGTGGTGTGCAGAAAACTGGAGTCAAATCTTGAGCTTTTCTGAGAGACTCCTCTGACCTTTTCAGGAGCCCGTACAATGCTCTCCCCGCTGGGCTCACATCCCACTCCCCAGGGGAAATCAAACCCCTGCTGGCACCGTCTTCCCAGGCTGGCAGGGGCTCTGAGGAGGGCAATCACGGGGAGGCTGAGCCACTTAACCCTCAGCCTGCCACGGACCGGCGAAACGACAGTCAGGGGGCTGTGAAGGGGCAGCGGTTCCAGAACTTGCCCCCCGGTTGGGCTGGGGCCTTCCCTCGGACCCAAGCAGGCTGAGACACTCACGTGGAAGGGCTCATGGGCCCGGGGGGCCCGGAGGGGCCGGACTCGGACGCAGCCGATGCCCACGGACAGCACGCACTCCTCCATCAGCGGGAGCGTGCCAGACTCCTGCACGGAGCGCACGGCCACCTGGACCCTCCGCGACTGGCCCTGTAGAGAGACAAGCGGGTTTAGGGCGCCCCCTGCCGGCAGACTTCTGTGGGAGCAGCACCCTCACCGGGCCAAGGCGACTGCCGTGGCCACAGGCTAGCAGACAAGTCGTTCAGTCGCTGCTGGTGGGAAAAGCAACTGGAAAAGCTCTCGGGAGGGGGATTTATCTCCACATGGTACGACAGTCCAACTTTCGAAGGCTGTATAAGTAAATGATTATCGAAGGCTGTATAAGTAAATGATTATGTAGAGAGATTCACGTAAATCTCAGAGCAATGCTAAGCACAATTTCTATTTTGGATGGAAATTAAATATATAATATTAATAGCACTGTCTTCCCGTTGTTCATCAATTTGCTCAAGCAGGCACCAGTAAAGTCTCGCAAGAAATTGTGAGACTTATTGTTACTGTTTTTAGCATATTGAATACGTCAGGGGTAGCTTGCCAGGCTCTGCCGTGTGGTTGGGATATTCTCAGTAGCTTGCCAGGCTCTTCGAGAGGGGCGTAGGAATTGAACCCGGGTCGGCTGTGTGCAAGGCAAACACCCTACCCCCTGTGCTATCGCTCCAGCCCATATAGTGTTAATAACTGCTTAAATTATGGCATGCATAATGGAATGTCAGTCATTAAAATTACTGTCAAAAAAGAATGACACATTTATGTCGAGAGATTATCACACTCTGTAAACATAACATGATATACTTAAAAAGAAAAAGACAGATTAGGAATAAAAATTAATTAAAACTAACCTGGGTTCACTGGCCTAATGCTCCCAAAGTCATTTTTAGCCAAACTAGAATCAGAGATGTTGGTCCAACTTTAGCATGTTTTAAAGTAAAATTGTGACTTTGTATATTTATAATGAAAATTTTTTTGAAAGAAAATTCCCAGTATTTTCAAATTAATTATTTCAAAGTTGGCCTCTACATTTAAGGAACATAAAGGAGAATCTGAAAACTGGAATGTGAAAACACAATTTCAAACCAGTTCTTCTGCCAGATTTTAATGCCTCAGATTTGCATTATCAGTCAGGAAAAATCAATTCTGGCAGAGATCAATCCTATCAAGCTAGATTTGAAGGGGAGGGGGGTTACAGATGTCCTTTGAATATTTGTTTTCCATGGACTGTGTCTCACATAGCTTGTGGAAAGAATAGCTCAGAGCACGTCTTAAACATCCAAAGGAGGGACTGGGGCAACAGGTCAGCGGCCAGCAATAGGACACATGGCTGAACCAGGTTCGATCCGCAGCATCCCATATGGTCCCCCCAAAACTTCCAGGGGTAATTCCCGAGTGCAGAGCCAGGAGGAACCCCTGAGCATTGCTGGTTGTGACATAAAAAGCCGAAAAGGAAAAAACAAATCCAAAGGAGTTTTCGCACTGAACTGCCTCGTTTTGTTCACCTTGCCAGAGGCGCACCCCTTCTGGGTGAGGGCTCAAGGTGAGAGGAGGGAGATCTGAGAGTAGGAGTGCTCCCCGGAGGTCCTCTCGACACCTCAGGCTATTAGGCTGAACTTCTTAGAACGGCTGCTATTCAACCATTTTTAACTACAAAACCGCCATTTTGATTAGCCTAGTCAGTTTCCTCTCCTACTTTCTTGGAGGGCAAGAGGTTCCCAGATTGAAACATACTAAACCTAAATGTGTCCAGGCCCTCAGGGGAAGATTTCCTTAGTTACAGCCCCTCCTCCTTGCAGTGCCTTCTACCCAGACTATTTCCACTACACCTTTCTTCTTGCTCCTTAATTTGTTTTTTAAAAAATCTTTTCAGCCTTCACATAATTCTATCAGCAGCCAGGTCAAAATGCTCACCATTCAAAAAAGTCTTGCCTGATAAACCCCACACCACCTTGAACACTTCTACTTAGCAAGGGTCATACTTTGATATCCTATTTACACCAAGCTACAGAAAATTACCTGGCCTTGCCCCCAAAGAGATGAATTTCTAAGGCACTCCGAGAAGGTATATATAGTTCTAACAGATGGTCAGAAAAAGATATTCTTCGCACCCTCAAAATTTGATGCGCTGTATATACCTCATGCTATAACAGGCACGTTAACGTCAAATTCCTTCCTATCTATGAGTGAATTTGCTAAAACCCATTTGCTGGGTGAGAGTATGAGTGTGAATCACCCTCTTCTTCCTAGAACATTCAGGAACTCAAATCTCTCAGCAGACTTTTCCATGAGCCTTTGCCTATATTTGGCAATCACTTGGAATCACTTTTAACCTTCATTTTCTAGAAGTACCTCAGTATTTTACTATTGTCTCAAAGCATGGAAGCAAGCTGGGATACAGTATTCTAGTAAATGTTGAATTATTGCAAAGTGCGCCTTCAAAGACTCTCTGGCAACCCCCCTCACCCTGTGAATTCTCCCCAGATATTCTCTCTAGCCGGCAGACACCTTCCGGATCACAATCCGGGCCCCGTTGTGACCACCCCCCCCCACACACACACACTTTTATGGCACAGGTTTCTGCCACCTTGCCCAGCTGCATTTCTTGAACCCCTTCACAGGGATTCAGGAAGAGATTTGCTCTCCGTTCTCAGCCATAGCACAGAGCTGAAACTTGGATTCCCCACGTGGTAAAGGTGGTGGGTGCTCCTGCAACTCTGAGTCGCAGGCCCCTCTGCGGCATCAGGCCAGGACAGGGCTAGTGGGGACTACCCAGACCCTCAGAGGAGGAGCAGGGTTGGAGCGTGAGTGAAAGAAGCCGCAACGGCCAAGGTATCATCAACTGCACAGACATAGGGGGTCGCCCACAAACTCACAGAAGATGCAGCTCAATGCATGGCGGAGCTGGGAGGGGTCAGCCCGAGAGGACAGGAAGGTCCCCAGCCCACCACCTTGCCCTCGCTTGGGGGCTAGCTGGCGAGGTCTGGCCGCATTCCTGACAGCACACAAAAGGACAGAAAGGGGCTTATCCATGCAGGTTCCCTGGATCATTCTAGGACAGCATCTGACTTAAACCTGAGCCCCCAAACCTAAGGAGCCTAATGCTAACTCTGGGGTGAGGTCCAAACGCATCTGAACTGACCTCGATTCGGGCACCCTGTTGGTGACCACACAGAACCACAAGGAAAAACCTTCTCATCTCCACGAGCTAAGCAAGGGCCTTGGTTTACAATCTCCCACAAGGCCGCTAAGATGCTCTGAGCCCCATCTCGACCACACACAGGCCACTGAGAGGGATCCAGCCTGGCCAGGGCACATCAGTTCTGCCCCTACCTTGTCCCTCTCATCTTCCAACGTGCCCACTGGTTCTGCAAGACACGCTACAATTCGGTTCTCACTTGGCATTGCTTTCTTGGCTGTTGTTACCGATACCCAACTTCAAATATTCAAAGTGACTGCTCTACCACTGACCTACATTCCCAACACAAGCTGTGCTTTAGTGCCTAGCTTTTTTTAATTTAAATTCAATGGAAACTGGTTTTAAAATATTCTAGGTAAAATTTTTGACAAATGAAAGAAAATATATATACAACAGAAGACCATTTTAATACAAGAAAGAGTTGCGTCCAGTCTAGGTCTCATTATTACTGACATTTCTGCTAAAAGACATCCAATATGAAGTCTTGCGGGGCTGAGTAATTTAAAGCTAACGTCCAGAATGACAGCATGCAGTCTGTTACCTGCCGAAGCTGGAAGATTCCTCCTGTTGGCACATCCTTTGCAGCAATCACTTCGACGGGACAATATTCCCCATTCTCATTCTGCTCCAAGATCTGAACCCAGAATTCTACTTTCCTGGTGACTTCACTCCATCTAGGAAACAGTTATAGGTTTTGGAGAATCATAAACTTCTATTCAATAATGCAGGTGTTGTGGGTGCTGCGAGCGTGAATCAACAACACTGACCTCCAGACAGAATGACTCAGGGCAACGTTCTGTGGCTCAGGGGCCAGAGTGATGTGCAGAGGCTGGGGTACCTGCGTTCTATGGGGCCAAGCCTAGCTCGATTTTTTTGCACGGTCCCCCAGTCACCATCAGTGAGCCCTGAGCACAGAGCCAGCAAGGATAGACCCTGAGCACTGCCAGAGGTAGCCCGAGTCTCCACACATCCCCTCCCAAACAGAAGGATCCATAGCTCAGTTGGTGACATGCACCAAATGCTGGCAAGTCCACTTGAAAGTAAAGTTGAACAGACGTGATAACAGAGTAGAAAGACTCCTTTATGTCATCCCAAGAGTATGATAATTACAAGCCTAGTGCAAACCACTGTACTCAGGCATGCAGAGGGAAACAGAGATAGTGCTATCGCCCCAGTGACAAGACAAGCGCCCTGCTCAGGTCTCTAGGAGAAGCACAATTCTCGATGCCTGACTTAGTATGTGCTAAAACTCCCTAAATGCCAAACAGGAAATAAGATCTGGCTCTCTTCTGTTGTTCGGTTGAAAGCACAGAACACCTTCTTTGTCATTTCCTTCAGAGCTGTTCTGAGTTCTGGTCAACCAACGCACCTGACTCCTTCCGTCACTGAAGCCACTTCACCGGGACTTGAGGGCCAGGGGTAGCTCAAGGGCTAGGACACACAGTTTGCATGCAGCCCCGGGGTCAAGCCCCAGCATGGGTGGATCCCCGAAGCACAAAGTCGGGAGTAGCTCCTGAGCACTGCCACACATGGCCCCCCAACAAAAGCAAACCAAAACAGGACTCTGGGGTAAAGACAAAGGTAAGTAACGCTGAGTTGAGAGTGGTTCATGACCCTGGCTCCTACAGCTGACTGACCTGTGGTGACTCATAGTCCCCTAGTCCACTTAAACACCCGGGCTTGGAGACTCCCTTCTGTCACTCTTCCAAGTCCACTTATGACGCGGCGGGACCCCCAGAGGAAGCCCACCTACCTGTCCCGCAGGCTCCGCGTCTTGGCCTGGATGATCCCCAGGTCCCACAGGGCTGGGTTCCTCCGAGGGTCGTTCATCTTGTGGCCGTACACCTCGATGGCCAGGGCGCCCTCGGAGAGGTGCTCCACAAAGTCCTCGGTGAGGTGGACGGAAAACTCCTGGCAGGGGATTGTCAGAGGAAGAGGCTCCGTCAGGCCCTCAGGGGAGCCGAGTCCCGATTGCAGACACCCTCGGCAGCCAGGGCAGCGGGAAGGTGATGAGACAGAGGGGTAGTTGTGGAACCCAACTGGCCCCTCCGGGATCAGAGAGTCCCCCGGCGGCCTCCGGTTCCTGCCTCAGACCAGCTGAGCCCTCCTCACCGCCGAAGCCCATGGTGGAGGACCAGCGTGCTCTCCCCCTGGTGGGCAATGTCCAGGCAAGGCTGGCGAGTCTGCCTGCTCCCCGGGTGGCCACCTCTCACAGGCCCTTTCCCTCCGGGCCGAGGCAGCACTGGGATCTGAGCATGTGTCTGCCTCAGGGAACCCTGCACACCTTTTCTCATGCATGTGGCCGCATCACTCTCGCCACCAGGCACCCGCTGCCTTCGTCCCTGTCCCTCAGCCTCTGGCTCCCCCTCTCCCTCCTCTGCCATGGCACTTCCTGGGGGGGAGGGGCCCTGATGCTCAGGGTCTTGCGGTCACCTGACCCTGTTCTCTTTGTTCCTTCATGCTTAGTTTCCTCATGTCCCACAGGGGCGCAGCTAACTTATCGTGGTCACTGCAGACCACGTCACCACTGCTCCTGGGGAAACACACCAGTCATTGGCCCGCACGGTGACGGGCTCACAGCCTCAGGTTTTATTTCTACAAGAAGACTAACTGGTGAGGTTGTTCAGAGCTTCATGATAATAAAACGGGATGTTGGTAAGGGGGGGATATTTAAAATTAAATATTAAAAAGTAGCTGCATTAGATTCATAACAAGCACCTAAGACACCTTGCTAGCAAAGTTCTCAGTGTTTCGAGGTTTTCCGAGCCCAAGGCCTCCCAGATGTGAGACACGCGCCATGACAGCCACCTCTCCAGGCAGCGGCAACGTGATGGAGAGATGATTTCCCCCAGGATTTAGGAAGCTGCCTACCTCTAATTATAGAAAACTCATTGGTACAAGAAAATTCTTTTAAGTTATCCCAACTTATCTATCTTTCTACGATAGATAGAACACAGCTGGAGGCAGAGCAAGAATATGGCAGGGAGGGCACTGGCCTGGCATGCAGCTGACCCAGTTTTGATCCCCACAATTCCAGTGGCCTTCCAAGTGCTGCCAGGAGTGATCCCTAGTGCAGAGCCAGGAGTGACCCCTGAGCATCACTGAGCATGCTCCCTGCCAAAAACAGCACCTCAGAATAATTAGTATTAGGCTTCAAATGGTTTGCTTTTTGCGGTCACACGTTTTCTTCTTCTCTCTCTCTCTTTCTGTGTGTGTGTGTGTGTGTGTGTGTGTTTCTCTCATGTCCTTCCTTCCTTCCTGCTTTGGGGCCACACCTCACTGCTGGCAGGACTAACTCCCGGCTCTGCACTCAGGGATCACTCCTAGAAGTGCTTGGGGGGGAACCATGTGGGGTGCCAGGGATGGAATCTGAGTTGGCCATGTGCAAGGCAGGCACCTTGCCTACTATACTATCTCTCTCACTCCCAGCTTTTTTTTTCTCTTGCTATCTAGCACCAAGACATATTTCTAAGAAGACACATCTCTTGGCGCACCTGGGGGTGGCTCCATGGCTGAAAGCTTCTCTGTCACACCGAGGCCTTGCGTGTGACCCCAGGTGCACCAGCTACTCTACTGTGTGAGGCCTGGCACTCTGGGGCCCCACCAGGGCTGTGTGTGTGTGTGTGTGTGTGTGTGTGTGTGTGTGTGCGCGCGCGCGCATGTGCGCGCGCATACCAGCTGAAGTGTGTGACCCCCCAACAGGCACTGCAACTAAAGATGCGGGAGCAAGCTGCCCCCCACCTCCACCGGTGACTGGCCATGGGCAGCCTGACTTATCTGAGCTAACGCGAGCCCCCTCCCCTCAAGAGCACCATGGTGAAGAGCAGCCAAAGAACCACAGGGATGCTGGGTAGAGCACTGGGTCCTCAATCAAGCCAGTTTTGCCTGGACTTTCTCTCCACTTTCTCCATACCTCTAGTTCCTTCGCTTCCCTAGGTGAAGGTTTCCCGGGAATTTAATACAAAGTTTTGGAGATGAGTGCGTGCACATATATGCATGCACACATGCCAGCTTCTGCCCACGGATGAGTGAAACTTAGCGACACTTCGAAGTTTGGCAACCACCCCCCGCCCCCGCCTCACCCCTCCTCCACCCAGGAAGCTCTGACTCACGACATACAGCAAGACCCAAGCACCCAGCGATGCTGCAGTGAGGCCCATCAGCTTTGTCCTGGAGAACTTACACTGCAGTGGTCGAAGACCACCATGCACTGGGGCTCCTTGCTGACAGGTGAGGAGGACGTGTCCACCTCCGGTGCCACGATGACTGGCTCGTGGTCCCAGAAGCTGTACTTGCAGAACACAAAGTGGGACAGGTGCTGGGGCAGCCCCGTGGCCTGCAGGATCTTCACCTGAGGAAGAGAAGGGCACTGTTCAGAGAGGCCTGAGGACTGCCCTGCCAAAGTTCTCCGACATCAATACCACCCAACGACAAACTTGGGTATGGTTGTATAATTTAAAAAAAAAAAAATGGTGGAAAAGTGATAGGTGCCATGCCAGGAGTGTAACAGAACGTGTCCGGGCTAAAGGGGAGAACAGAATGGAGGACGCCGAGGACTGTGTGCAAGGCGGACTCTGTGGCCAGGAAGAGCCTGTTCTGCGTCGAAAGAATCTAAGACAAATGTGGGTTTTTTCAAATGCTAAGTGAAGGGTCGCCATCATGTTTCTTTCTGCCCCGCATCTGAGAGACCATCTGTTGGGTCTCTGTCCCTCTGACTAACTCACTCGGCACCACACTCGCCAGGTAGCTCCCGGGAGCCACGACTTTCAGGATTCACCTTCCCTTGTGGCCGAGGAATACTCCACTGTGTATGGGTCCCATAGTTTCTTTTTAAATCTATGCCACTACTTTTTTTTCTGTTTTTCAACAAAATCCCTTGGATCTTCGTTTTCGGCCTAGTTTTCTCTATGTCCCTGTGGGAACTGTCTGGAACTTGAGCTCTTTCCCTCTCTGGGAGCTTTGATGTGAAACACTCACTGGCCACAAGGTGTCGCAAGAGCCCAGACTTCAGCTCTGCAGCTCTGGCCACAGAGTCAGGGGAGGGTTCGTCCGTCCATAGACTAATTTTAATGTAACTGAAAACACTAATACGCCAATCACAAGAGCATTATCCTCACAACAAGCAAACCCAGCCAGCCTCATGGGCTCAGGAGACCCCATGGGGCGGGGGATGGGTGGGGGGAGGGAAGGAGATAAGGTTTGGATTGGGGGCCACGCCTACAACTTCTTCCTGGCTCTGAGCTCAGGGGGCCTTGCACAGCGCAGGGACTGAGCCAGTGTCAACGGCTCCGTTTCTTTGGTTTCCCACCAATACTTGGTTTCTTGTCAATATCCTGTATTTGTTCCCTCCTTTTTGTTGTTGTTTCAAAGTTTGTTTGTTTGGGGGCCACATCTGGCGGTGCTCGGGGCACAGTCCTGGCTCTGTGCTAAAGGACCTCTCCTTGTGGGTTAAGGGGTGCTGGGAACTGAACCCAGCATGTCCATGCACAAGGTAGCACCCGATCCATCGCACTACTCCTCTGGGCCCCGTCCCCTCCTCTGTGACACAAATGGTTATTCCAGGCTCAGGACAGAGTTTCTAAAGCCCATTTTCCCCGGAGCAGGACCTGTGCGGGGGAAGCAGATGGCAGGAAGCAGTGAGGAATGGAGGTTAGGCTGGGCTGAAGAAAAGGGAGTCGTTGCGAGCTTCCCGACAGACCAGGGGCTCCCAGGCTGCTTTGGGGCACCAGCTCCTTCCTGGGAAAATAATCACTCAGTGCCCCCTGGAAATCCACTTTCTTCCCCAACTCCCCATCATTCCACTGTGGAGGTGTGTGTGTGTGTGGGGGGGGGGGGTCGTTAGTGGCCACTTTGGGGGCTGAGAGAGGCAATAATACCATGGGTCACAGCATGAGTGTGTTGAGTAGGGAAAATTCATTATTTTGAAAATTAGAAAACAGAGGCAGAAATGTGCATTTACCCTGCCTTTCCTATCCAAACTGTATTTTCTTTTCTTCTTTCTTTCTGCTTTGGTGAGGGAGCCACCCTGGAAAAGTTCAGGGCTTCCTCCTGGCTCTGTGCCCTGGAGTTCACTCCTGGTCGGCTCCAGGGACCATATGCGGTGTCGGGATCAAACACCGTCAGCCACGTCCACGGTAAGCGCCTCCCCACTGTCCTATCGCTCCAGCCCTCCGCACTGGATTCTGAATTGAACAGCATGTTCATTGGCTGACAGGAAAGACTGTCACAGGCTCTCAGACTTCCATTTAAAACGCCGCCACCTTCCAGGCAGGCCATGATGGAGCATCACGCCTACGTCTTGGACAATCCTACAGCCCCCAAAGGAAACATTCTGAAATCAATGCAATGAAGATCCTGCCTGCCCGATACCGTATCTTCCCCACCTCAAACTAAAGTGAGAGTCCCTCTGAGCTTCCTAACTATCTGCGACACCAACAGAAAGCAGGGCGACCTGAGGCTTCCAGAGCCTGCAGCTTGTAAAGACTTTAGTCACATGGACGCCTGTGTCTCCACCTAATCTGAAACTGATGTAGGCAGGTAGATAGGGAAGGCCCCCCTCCCAAGGCAATGGCAAAAGCCAGTCCTGCAGAAAACAGGAAAAACAGGAACTAAGGCCTGGTAAGACCCTCACTTGGCACCAGCAACAGACTCAGAGAAGCTCCAGCAGGAACAAAAGGCCAGGAAAGGAATTTCAAAGACCGTCACCACTCCCAACCTCCCTGGTAACCTCCTTAGCAATAGACTTTGATCTAGCTAGAAGCCCACATGGGGACAGGTTGGAGAAACTCTATCATGGCCACCTTGAACAAAGGAAGGGCACACATATGCTGCTTGTGCCCATGTGGCCGAGCACGTGTGGTGTCAGAGTACATGTGTTGCTCCCATCTCCCCTCTTGAGATGTGTACTTTCATGCTTTTGTGTCTAATGCTGGGATGTGTGTAGGGGCTCTCTCCACCCTTGGAGAAGCCTGTGTTCTATCTTGAATGCATTTCTCTCTCTCTCTCTCTCTCTCTCTCTCTCTCTCTCTCTCTCTCCCTTCCCCCACCGTCTTTCTCTCCCCCACCCCATCTCTTCCCCTCCACACCTTCAAAACCTCCAAATAAAATCTGTTTTGCTTCACTGCTTGTTTACTCCTGAAATTCCTTTCTGCGAGTGAGACAAGAACTCAGTAACCCTGGGGCCTGGGTGGCACAGGGGGATCGGGAGAAAGTGACTATCTTTCTCCTCCCCACTCCACATGAGCCACCCATGGGGTCCACTGACATCAAAACTGCTCCGGTCACCTCCTCGGGCAGGAGCCGGGTCTGCTCCTGCACTAGCCACGCTGACCGCTAACGCACAGCGTGTGAATGGTGTCCGGGGGAGAGAAGGGGGGGCTTGAGGGTGGTGCTGGGTGGAACAGCGGTAGCAGAAGCCCGTGGAGGAAGCACGTGGTCAGAACGTGTGGGCGTCTAGGCACTGCAGGGGGCTCGGTGCAGGGGCTCAGGAAGAGGTCCAGGGCTGGACCAGTCTCCATCAGGGGTCTGCCCAGGAGGAAGCTGGGGCTTCTCTAGAGAAGACCAACAGGAATGCATGCAGACCTGGGGCAGAGCAGCACAGAGCAAAGTGGAGACTTAGCCGGAACCCCCAGGGAAAGTGGGGAGAGTAGCGGCTGTATGTTCAGCAGGACGAAAGTTCTTTTGGAGACAGATTGTTGGATAACATTGGTTTGTCCTTCTTGCCTTGCCGCAGGGAGCTTAGGTTTACTGGGTTACTCCCATCACAGTGCTCCCATTCCTCTGTGTTTATTTGTAATTTCTTTCTTTGTACTCCGTTGACTTGTAAATACTATTTTTCTCCTCTCCTTAAGCCCTTTGCATAGTTAACTCAGAGCAATGTCCCTTTTGTATGGGCACAAGAAGACAGTTAATGCTATGCTTTCTTAACATAGGAGTTAATTGACTCCGAATGATAACTTTCCTCCTGGACATCTGTTCTCTCAGCCTAAGCCTCAGTTGCCCTTACTTCCTAGCATCCCCAAGGTAAGGTCCCGAAGAGGAACTGGACGGACCCAGGGCAAGCGGCGAGTTACGTGCTACCCTGGCATGGAGATGGGCCTGGCCAAAGTGCCATAATGCTTAACTATAAGTTAAGAGCTTGGTCATGGACAAATGCTGTCATGATCCAAAAAGTAATAACTAGATTCGGACCCTGCTAGGGTTAGGAAAGATTAATCTGGCCTGAGCACTGTAGTCTGAGTCTGTGGCGAGATGTTCCCAGGAGAGCCGCCCTACAAGCCTCAGTGTTTCTCCTACAGGTGTTTTCAAACTCAGAAAAGGAACCTACTCTTTGGCTTAAATGCTGACGACACGCACGGCCTGTCACTCTGCCTTGGCTCAGGAGTGAAATGGACTCACCATGCACACAAGCTTGTTCTCCGGGGCCTCCTTGTCACCGGCATTTTCCCCGATGTCATCCCCTCCGGCGATTCTCTCCCCGATGTCGCCACTGATCCGCATCACCTCCACGTGCAGCCGCCCCGCCACCTGCACCGATGGGGGAGCACAGTGCGCGTCCAAGCGGGCCCTTCCTGCCTCGAGGGTCAGCTCTGAGCTAATGGCCCCATCCCGTTAGCAATGTGGAGATGCTTCCTGAGGAGTGGAAGCGGCCACCCACAGTCCCCAGCCCAGCGTTTCTGGGCGGTTTTCCGCAGAACCCCAGGCGGGAGCAGAAACCAACCTCCCCTTTCTGGTTGATGATGGGAACAGCGTACTGGAGCTTCACATCGTAGAAGAGGGACTCGAGGAAGACGTTCGCCACCCCGATGAGACTGTGGTTTTCCTGCTCATCGTAGAAAGGGTCGGCGCGCTTGAAGTAAGACCGGGTTACCTGGAAAGGAGGTTGAAGACACGGCTTCAGGAAGGCCTTGAAGCAAGCACCCGCACCGGGCACCTCCGCTGTCCCGATCGGGGCTTCTAGGGCCTCATTGCTCAGCTCTTCGCAATCCCACTCAGCATCTCCTCAAGGGAGCAAGTCTAGCTATGCATCGGCACTTTGCTGACTCCCTAGTCTTCATGGGAATGGCCTGACATAAGGTTGCTGACTGGGAGAGGAGACTGGCTCCATGCTTCAGGCCTACCCGCTCCTGTCATCCCCCAAGCCAGCAGCCATGCTGCTCCCGGGAGGGCTTCTCTGTTGGCTGTTGCTGTTTTCGTGATGTGCGAGCACCCGGATGATCTTCGGGAGAAAGCACTAGGCCTGCGGAGCACAGGCCCAGCACAGCAACGATGGAGTCAAACTCCTTCCAGAGACACTCCTTTCAGAGACGCTCTGAGGGCATCCTAGCCATGCACCCCTAATGCCCAGGCGAACCCACACATGGTGGGAGGAGGGACACCAGGGCCCGGGCTTGTGAGTAAACTCAGTCCCCGAGGGGGGCAGCCACCAGGACAGCCAGCGGCCGGCATGGCTGCCGACAGTGCTGGAAGTCAGAGGACACAGGGCACGGGGCAAGGGGAGAGCTAAAGGACGGAGTGGCCAGCGACAGACTCTTCGAGGGACAAATGACCCGGCTTCCCCGAGGCGGGCAGCTCAGGCTTAGCCCTCGCATGGGCGGCCAGGCAAGCCACTCACCGGGGAATCTTCCTCACACTCTTTCCACTCCTGGTATAGGTCTCTCATGTCCAGCAGCCTGTTGTCCAGTTTCTCCAGAGACCAGATCTGCTTCCCTTTTCCTTTTCTTCTCACCTGGATGGCAGGTTCGCTCAGAAGAGAGCCTCGCTGTGGAGAGATCAGGAGCAATTGAGCGCCGCAGGGGAAGGAACAACTGAAAGCCACAGAGGGATGTCATCACGGCCATCGGCGCTGGTATTCCACACCACCACATACACATACACGCACATGCATGCACAACACACGTGCACACACACGCACATGCACGCACACACATGTGCACACACGTGCACACGCGCGCGCGCACGCGCACACACACACACACGCTATCAGTCACACCCAAAAATGTTCTTCTCACCCCTGTTCATGCATAATGCCCCAGAGATCCTGCAACGTTGATATCACAGCTTTACACCAAAGGGTCCTCCCACTGTTCATCGATTTGCTCAAGCGGGCCCAGTAACGTCTCCATTTTGAGACTTATTGTTACTGTGTTTGGCATATCGAATACATCACGGGTAGCTTGCCAGGCTCTGCCATGCGGGTAAGATACTCTCGGTAGCTTGCCGGGCTCTCTGAGTGGGGCGGAGGCATCGGCCAGGCTGGCTGTGTGCAAGGCAAATGCCCTACTGCTGTACTATCACTCCAGCCCACACCAAAGAGTAAATACACCAAATGCTTATTCACGCTGAAAGTCACACTAAAATGCAAATCTGGGTGGTCACTGGATATAAGAAGACAGGTGATGGCTCAGCGGTCAGGGGCATAATGCAGGGACCTGGGTCTGAAACCCACTGTCGTTTGCTACTGCCTGGAGGTCACAGCACCACCCATGTCACTGGTCCCTGCAGGGAACCTCCTGGCCAGGAGGCAGAGGGTCCCTGAGCAAGGCTTGCTTTGCTCTGTCCCCTCCACATGGGCCAGAGAGTTGGCTCTAAGGGCTGGAGCACACAGATCACGCCACTTGGTGTGGTCCCCAAATTGAAGTTTCCCCTTAGTGCCACTGGGAGCAAACCCTAAGCACTGAGCTGGGTGTGGTCCCCAAATAAAAAATACAGAAGTAAATAATTTTGAACGAGTAGCCTTAATTAAGATCCTTAATTAAGGATCTTAATATGGCGCTAAGCACAAACTGTTTCAAGCGTGCAGTGTGGAAAAGTCTCCCGTTTACCCATTTCACGTCAATCCTATGTCCCGATGCAGAGTCTGAATCTCTTAATGAAGCTACGTCACTCTCCCATGCCCGCTTCTTTTTGGGTTTGTATTTGGGCAACAACCAGCTGTGCTCAGGGCTTAATCCTGGCTCCACATCCAAGGAGCACTCGGGCGGGGCTTAAGGGACCATCCCCTGTGGTGGACATCAAGTCCAGAAGGATTGTAGGATGATGATGAAAGGGCGTGAGGAAAGGGAGCTGAGGATACTTCTGGAGAAGGCTCCGCCCTGCACAGCAGGGAAAGGGAAGGAAGGGAGTGCTCCTAGCAAGAGGAGGGTGAGCACCAAAACGGGGGTCGAAGCCTGGGGACACGGGGTAGCTGATCCCACTGGGTCACTGCTTCTCCGCGGCGCCAATCTCACCTTCAAGTTGGCATCGAGACTGGAGGCAGGGATCTGCAGGGTCACTTTATACTCTGTTCTTTTATCCAGTTCCTCTGCGATGTAGCTCGCTTCTCTCACCAACAGATTGGCTTTGACAATCTGTTCCCTCAGCCGCATCAGGCTGTTATTCAGTGTCGCTTCTCTTTAACAGTAAGAAAGGAGCCGGGGTGAAGAAGGAGGTCCATTAGCTCACAGAATGTCAGAACACGTAGCAGCTCAGTGCCAACTGGGAGCCCCGGGACTGCTCTGCCCATGGGCCAGGCAGGCGCAGGGACCTGCCCCCACTCCAAGCACTGGCGCCTGTGCGTCTGGGAGCCCCTAGAGGGGGGTAGGGCTCTGCTCCGACACGCCCAGCACCCGGCTAGGTGGAGACTTTAACTCGGGAGGCCTGGGGTGAGCCTGCAGTGCTGCCTATCCAGCCACCCTCAGGACACAGTCTGCAGAACAAACTGATGAGGCAGGCGTGAGTTCCTTCCCCAGACACTGCCAGCCCACTTGGGCCAGACACTGCCAGCCCACTTGGGGGTCCGCCTCTCATCAGCACCTGCTGTACCTACGGGCACTCATTGGCCAGAAAACCACCTTTCCTCTGCTGCCTCTGTTAGGAGCGTCTGCCCGAGCCTCGGAGCAGGAGCACAGCACAGTGAAAAAGTGCGGCTCCTCTGCTTTGTTTCTCGGTTGGTTGGAGGTGGGCTTTGGGCCGCAACTGCCTGTGCTCAGGGATCACTCCTGGCCATGACCATATGAGATGAGAGAGATGGAACGGAAGGTCGGTCGCAAGCGAGGCGAGTGCCCTCCAAGAGGTACTATCTCTCAGGCAGAGCACAGCTTCTGGGTGCAAATACCGACCAATTCAAAACCAAACGTCACCCAGACCCAAAAGGGGCCTCGGGGCACACAGGTGAGTCTAGACAGATCCAAATGAATGGGAAACTCCCACCATTTAAAAAAAATGGGGGCCATTCTTGGGTGTTAGTCTCCTATTTTGTTACTTTATGTTCCCCAGATGAATGCAATCTTTCTATGTCTGTCCCTTTCCTTCTGACTCATTTCACTTAACATGATACTTTCCTCCCAGGATGGGAGAAGCATGCTGAAAGTAGACTATAGACCAAACATGATTGTCACCCATTGCCTCTTTTGCAAACCACAACACCCAAAAGGAGAGGGAGAACAAACGGGAATGCCCTGCCACAGAGGCAGGATGGGATGGGGGGATAGGGGGTGGGAGGGATACTGGGATCCGTGGTGGTGGGAAATGGGCACTGGTGGAGGGATGGGTACTCGATCATTGTATAACTGAAACCCAAGCACAAAAATTTGTAAGTCTACAACTATACCTCATGGTATCTCACTAATAAAAATTAAAAAAATTAAAATAAATTAAAAATAAAATTGACTACATTTTATCAACAAAACAACAAAATGGGGGCTAGGGCCAGAGCGATAGCACAGCAGGGAGGGCATTTGCCTTGCAGGCTTCCAAGCTGGGTTCAATATTCTTGGCATCCCATAGGGTCCCCCGAGCACCGCCAGGAGTGATTCCTGAGTGCAGAGCCAGGAGTCAGCCCAGAGCATTGCTGGGTGTGGCCCAAGTAGCCATATATAATTAAATAAATAAATAGGGGTTCAGAGGGAAGACCCCCGCAAGTGGCTCCTTGCCCTGAGGCTCTGTTCAGCGGATTTCCTTCCCCAGGTCTAGGTCTTCCCACGAAGCTCTGCCAGGGTGGGTGAAGGGTGAGCGCAGCCGGCGGGGGCACCCACCTCTCCTCGGCCCACTGCCGCAGGCGCTGTTGGGCGCTGGGCGACTGCAGGGAGAACCTGTCGGAGCCGCGGCAGTTGTGCTTCTCCGGAGACAGCCTCCGCCGCAGCTGCTCCAGCTCCTGCTCGTACATGAGCCGCTGGCGCTCCAGCGCCGACCGCTTCTCCTCCTCGTGCTGCTGCTCCAGGCTGCTGAGCAGGGACTGCATCGGGTCTGACCAGAAAACGCGCCAGTCAGTTACGGGCAGAGACCTTGGAGTAGCCCGCAGGGGACACTCTGCCTGTTCTAGCATCATCCTAATTTTTTTGGGGGGGAGGTCACACCCACCTATGCTCAGGGCCTCCTCCTGGCTCTGCATTCAGGTATACTCCTGGTGGTGCTCAGAGGACCATACAGGATGCCAGGGATCAAACCCGGGTCGACCACGTGCAAAGCAAATGCCCTACCTGCTGTGCTATTGCTTCCGCCCCCCAGCGTCATTCTAATATTAATGAAATAAAAATTCTCTGTTTTCTGTTGTTGGTTTGGGGGGCATAACTGGTGGGGCCGGGGGATCCCAGGGGTTGAACCCTGGCCGCCAGCACATGGAGAACAGCCTGTTGAACTGCCATTTTAGCCCTAAAATGAAATTCTTGGAGATAGTAGGGAACAAATTAGCTTCCCTCACTCCTCACTGCATATCCAATTCCGCACTGTGTTGGATATACTCTGAACTCATCTCTGGACAGAAAGAGTAGGTCCGTTATCTGCTCGACAGAGAACAGAGAGAGGGCTGGGGCTCCGACGTTCGGAGCCAGTAGCATCAAGGGTCAAGCCTGAGAAATTCCATCTGGAACAAAGTTTGCAGTGTGACATGGAGGCAAAAGGAAGAAGAAAACTTGAACTCACAGCAAGGGCTGTGGTGAGGACAGAACGCAAACACGGTACTAGAACAATACCTGTCAGGTGGCACAGGCTCATAAATGCTAGCTACTGTTATTACGCAATACAATTTGAAAGGCACTTTGTGGAAAACACAGATGCAGAGCATGATACAGGTGTTAGATTATATATCGTCATAAATAGGCACCTGTTGAAGATTTTTATGGATAGAACAAAGTCAAAGACATGAAAAGAGTAGATAAGGAGAGAGATCTCCCTTCTGGTGATACTCAGAAGGCCTCGGTCATGGCTGTCCCTAAAGGGGCTTCGAGCAGAGGGGCCTGGCGGGCTCGGGCAGAGGCCCTGTGGGCTGTGGGCAGAGGCCCTGTGGACTGCAGCAGGGGGCCCAGTGGGCTACGAGCAGGGGGCCCGGTGGACTACGGGCAGGGGGCCCTGTGGGCTATGGGTAGGGGGCCCGGTGAGCTACGGGCAGAGGGTCCTGTGGGCTATGGGCAGGGGGCCCCGTGGCTGCTCACCGTTGTGGCCCAGCGCCTTCATGGTCACCTCCATCTGCGCGTACTCGAAGTTGAAGTTGATCTCACTGGACACCTCGCTGGAGGAGTCTCCGTCCACGTCCAGCTGCTCAGAGCTCGTGTCGTTCTTCACCAAGGCATCTTGCTCCTCATCCTCTCGATCGACTTTCTTTTTCTTTTTAGGCAAGTTGAGTCTTGGGGAGTGAAAAACCATTATTTCCCAAGCTAGGCCCTTCCTCCTTCGGCACTGGCACTGCCTAGGTACCCAGGGACTCCAAGTGAAGGGCAGAGAGTTCCTGCCTTTGGGATTTGGGTTCTAGAACAGAAATAAAATACATACGTGCCTGGTACTAACGCAGGCCACGTGACCATGTTAGAGAGGGACTGAGGGACCCTCAGACTGAAGACGAGGACCGGGGCACTGGTGCCATTTGAGACCACTCACAAGAAGCGAGGGAAGCAGGGCCCTAGGCCAGATGGAGCAGGAAAGGGTGGGTCTGGGAATTCCGTAGCAGTCAGGAGTCAGGCTGTGTGGAGCGAGTCCAGCAGAGACAGCAGAGGGAGCTGGGAAGAGCAGCTCAACCCACCGTGGGGAGGTGTGAGCACCGCGCCGAGCAACTGGCACTCGGTTTAGTTTGGGAAGAAGACCGGGGTAAAGGGTCCATTTGCTTTAGCACACCCCCTTGCCCCTCTCCTCAGAAATCCAAACATCAACTGGCTGGCAGTGGCGCTCCGGATCCTCTCCCAAGCCCAGTGGCCGAGGCAGGATGAGGAATAGACCCGGGTTCCAACGGAACAGAACAGCCTGCCCACCCTCCTTGCTGACACGACACCAATTTTGTTTGGAAAACAGTGTGTGCGGTCCCAGCTCGGACGCTCGCCCAGTCTCCTTGCGGCCAAGAGGCATGTTGTAGGGACAGAGGAGGATGGTAAACGCAGGATTGCCGGGGCTCGGGGAGATTCTGCTCTTCCTTACACTGAGAAGACAGTTGGCAGTCAGGACAAGCTCGCCCCTCTTCTCTCTCTCTCTCTCTCCCCCCCCCCCCCGCCTCTGTCTCTGTCTCCGCTCTCTGTCTCTCTTTCTCTGTCTCTCTGTGTCTGTCTGTCTCTGTCTCCCACCACCTTGGAGCAGAGGGCAGTGCAGGACAAGGGCAAGGCTGCTGCCAGGGAAGTGGCGAGAGGTTTAGCCAAGGCCAACTGCCATCTTCCTCCAGTCTTCCTGTCTAGGCAGCATGAGTCTGCACTCATCAGAAATCAACTCTCTAATCCATTACAATCAAACTTACCATTATCTGCAGCTGAAAGCCTTCCTGAATGAAATACAAATCTTATTCTATGCACTAGGCACAAAACTATTACTGTTTTCCTAAAAATGAAATTTAAAAAATGAGCATGTTAGGGGAAAAAAAAAAACGTAGTGATTTCTTCCACCAGACATGAATCACCTTTCACTGGGGAATAAAAAGGAAAAGTCATGCAAATAAAACCACTATTTTTCCTGAGTGTGCCGTATCTCTGTCCTTGCACTTAAGTCACACACTGAATAATAATGCAGAGTAAATACACACACACATCTAGTAAAGAAGTATGTGTGTCCTGGAAAAAGGTGTAATCTCTAGGGTGTTTTCTCCCTACTGTCTGTGCTTCTGTTCCCATCATCTCCCGCCCGGCCCCGGGACACGTCATACCTGAAGAAGTGGTTGTTTCCCCACAGTATCCTGTCCCCGTGGTGCAGCTGGACAGCGCTGGACACAGAAGAGCCATTAACGAATGTCCTGTGGGTACAAGGGCCAAACGTCTGGGTGAGGGTGGGTGAGTCTCCCCTCTGCCTTTCCAGTACCACAGCAATCCCGCTGCTCGGGGCGAGCAAACTCATGAGGTCTTCCCTGGAGGAATCTGACTAGCGGGGTTCCTGTCACTGATCCACCTAAAATGTTCACGGTTTGGGAACACGTGTAACTGATGATTCCCCCCCCCCCCTCCCCCCCCCCCCCCCCCCCCCCCCCCCCCCCCCGCACTTCTCAAAGTTCTGCCTTTGTTATGCAGTTTTCAAAGTTCTGCCTTTGTTATGCAGTTTCCACTACCTTAACTCAAGAGGTGAACTCTAAGAGGTGAATGTAAAAAAAGCATTGCAGCAAATACAAAAGGATGGTTCAGAGCACAAATAAAAGGGTGCTACCAGTACGCAGGGCAAATCATAAAGGCCTTTGATGCGGATAAAAAGAGCCAGTCACCAGGGGGACTGGCCCACGGCTGGGAGCTGCCCCAAGTGTGTGGGAGGCGGAGGGCAGTCGGATAGAGAAGGGACCAATATGACAATAATGCTCAATAATAGTTGGAAATGATCAATCTGGACACAAGAACTGAGTGTTGAAAGGAGGTAAAGAGAGATACATGATAAGCTTTCAGTATCTGTACTGAAAATTACAATGCCCAAAAGGAGAGGGAGAGAGGGAAGGACGGTAGGAGGGAAAGTGGGAGAAAGGGAGAGGGGGGGGGAGAGAGAGAGAGAGAGAGAGAGAGAGAGGGAGAGAGAGAGAGAGAGAGTGACTGCCATAGAGGTGGGGGTGGAGGGAAACTGGGGACATAGGTGGTCGTAAATGTACACTGGTGAAGGGACGGGTGTTGGAACATTGTACAATTGAAACCCAACCCAATTGTGGACAAATTTGTAACTGTATATCTCACTGTGGTTTAATTTTAACTAAAAAAAAAAGAGCCAATCCATGAACCCTAGTTCCGGCGTGACTGGCATCATGGTGCTGCCTTAGGCTGGGCTCTCCCTCAGCCATGCTGCAGGGCTGTAGGGAGGGCGTGAAGCCTGAGGGGCGAATGGCTCCTCTTGAGTGCAGTGCCAGGGCAGCGCATGCCCTCTCTCTCTTGAACAAAGACCTAGGATGCCTAGCCTTCCCCATTAGCTGGACAGTTTCTCAATATTTCAGGACTTTATGGATAAAATTTGTGCTATTCTAAATGCTGTGATATCATAAAATGGATCATCATTGTGAGGAACAACGTCAGGAAGGAAACAGTCCAACTAACATCCAGTTCCATGATGCCGTCTCCATTCACTCTTTCCTCTTGGTTCTGGACCTGCACGCGTGTCAGGGACAGAGGTCTTTGCTGACGGGGAACCAGAAGGAAACACCCCACAGGAATGCAATGTGAAGGGCAGACCCTGGGGACCCTCAGGAGCACAGGGAGCACAAACGATGTCACCCAAGGAAAGTCTGGTCAGTCCTGAAAAAAAGACCAGACTTTCCTTGGGTGACATTGTCTGTGCTCCCTGTGCTCCTGAGGGTCCTCCCTGACACGCATACAGGTCCAGTGCCAAGAGGAGAGCAAATGGAGACAGCATCATGGAACTGGATGTTAGTTGGACTGTTTCGTTTGGGACATTGGTCCTCCCATTGATGATCCACTTTATGATATCACGACATTTAAAGGCAAGAGCTGAAGCCTGGCGGGGCAGAAGACCGGCAGACGCAGAGCAGGAGGAGATGGACAGGGCCAATCCAGGCCTTCAGCACAAAACACAGCACAAAGGCTGGCGGGGGACCCAGGAAAATGGTGAGGCATGCCCACGAAGACTGGAGAGGGCCCAACTGCAGCCTTGGTAGCAGGCAGCGAGGGAAAGGGCTGGTTTTCTGAGTTGATAAAGGCCTGGGGAGATGGCTGAACGGGCTGGAGTGAGCACTTCACAGGCAAGAGTCCTGGGTTTGGTCCCCGGTACCACAAGGTGTCCCTGAGCACTGCTGGGAGAGCTCTGAATACTAAGCAGCACTGGGGTGACCCCGAAACAACAACCACAACAATAATAACCAGAAAAAAAACGTGGAGACCAACTGGGATATTAACTAAGAGAACTTAGAAGCAACCGGAAGTCACCTCCACAGACCATCCACACGGAGTGACCTTTCCCTCCCTTAGGAGGTACCATGATGGTAGCACGCATGAAAGTACGTTACCTGGTGTTCTTCTGCGGCGTCAGCATCACCTGGCCTTCTGGCGTGATGTCTATGATACAGTGCTCCGGAAGAATTCCCATTCCACACAGCTGAATATCTTGGGAATTTGCAGAACCTATCAGTGTATGCTCCTATAAAAAAAAAATCGAACAGACTGATTGATATTAGACTCTTACAAAGACTAAAGCCATATTCTCTTACATCCTCTTATGCTGATCCACTACCTTAACTCAAAGAAGTTTAAAGCAAATAAAAATAGGGGGGGGGGGGGGGGTTCTGGCTTGCTCTAAAACTCATTCTACAAGTTTTATTTCCTTATAGGGAATTCTGCACTGGGTTGAGTTATGCCTGTTAAAACTAAAACTATAGTTTTATATTCATGCTCATCTGATATTCATTATTCCCACTGTACTTTTCCCTTAAATTCCATTGTGATCCTCATTCCAAATATTTTATACAACCCTCAGAGCCTAATCCATGTATCAATGAAACTTTAAAATCACTGACGCCAAAACAAGCTACTTAGTTTGTTCATCACTTACTGATTGCAATCATGATGGTCAGGGGCTAAAGCAATAGTACAGTAGGGAGGGCACTTGCCTTGCATGTGGATGACCTGGTTTGATCCCCACTACCCCATGTGGTCCCTCAAGCCCTGCCAGGACTGATCCCTGATCACAGAGCCAGGAGTAACCCCTGAATGTCGGCAAGTGTGGCCCAAAAACAAACAAACAAAAGATGACCAAATACAAAGAAAGGTTATTCAAGAGGCGGGAGATAGCTCAGGGGGGCTGAGAGCAGGCTTTAGTCATACCCCAGCACTGTGGGTTCCCCCAGAGCCTACACACCGGAAATAGCCTTGAGCATTACTTAGGTTTGCCCCCTGCCAAAAAACAATAACAAAAACCCAAAATCAAAATAATTAATTTAAAAAGTTGAAGGTTATTTAAGCATCACAGAGTCTCTTTGAGCCCTGTGAAAGGTGTGAGGGGATTCTCCTTGCCTTGGGCTCAAGGACTCGATCCTCTCAGGAGACCACCAGCCTCGCCCAGTCCAGCAAGTATCAGAACCCAGATACTGTGGACATAGTGTCTCGGGGCTAGACAAAGGGAGGACGGGCTGTCCACACAAGACAAAAACAAATGAGGCAGTGATGCACGGCCTCTTCGTGGCTTGACTAACAGACCTGCCTCAGTCAGTTTGGACGAAGCAAATGGACGGCGGATACTGTCCCGGAAGACGTCCCATAACTCGGAGCCAGGAGGTGAGGGTCTCTGCAGCCAGAGCAGAGCCAGCGCTGGGCAGCCGTTGCCAGGCCTCCCCATCAACTGGGGAATTCTGAGGCAAAGAAATGAAAAATGCCTGACCTCTAAATTCCTCCATCCCACATCCGGTATTGCCTTACTGAAGCAAAGCCCCTGTTCTTGGCGCGAGATCCGGCTTCAGAGTGAGCTTTGTCATGAATAGCCTCTTGTGGTGGGTCAGCTTGGACAGTGAAAACAACACGGCCCGATTCTGCCATCCCGGGCGGCCTCCCGGCACCTCCGCACGGGACTAGCGGCAACATTTGGATGACTCCCCATGGCCTCTCAACAGCTCCTTTGTGAGTTCTTCTGGTTAAGGATCAGATAGGAATCAGGGCTTTTGCCTTGGGTGTATGTGTTTGTGTGTCCCTCTGTGAACTGCATTACAAGAGAAAGGAAAAGAATTCGCAGCTCTGGGAAACGGAAAGGGCACCGGACTGAAGTCCTATTCTGAAGGGGCAGAGCCCCAAGGCGCTGGAATACCCACTGCAGAATTCTAACGGGAGAGCCAGCTAGCACTGTCTCGGGCAATGCCTCCAACAATGGGGGTAGCCCTACGGTACAACTTGGGGGCACTTTCCAGAGGGACAATGAGTGGTTTTTTGCGCTATTTCTGAAAAGGGAGTGGTGTGCGAAGTAAGCTGGGGGAGCTCTGATTCAGAAGCACAGTGGGTGATGTGATAACACCTGCTTTCTGAATAGACAAATAACACGGGGCCGGGGAGAGAGCTCGCTAGCTTCACCACTTACGGATGGGAGCCCCACGCTGGGCCTCCAGCACTGCCAATGGCCCCCCAGGACCAGGAGGACTGACCAGCAGTAGCCCTGGAGCACCAGCGGGTGTGGTCTGGAAAGCCAACAATAAATAAATGAATCAAATAATGTATCTAGGGCACCGTGCAGTAAGTCAGGTGTCGGGGGATGGACTATGGACTATATTATGTGTCCAGAAACAGTGCTTCAGTTTATATGTGATCTCTGGGTATCCAAACTCTCCCTTAACCCTCAGAGGAAGCCCAACAGAGACATTTTCTGCCGACAGAGGTGAGGCCAAGTCTGGGGCCTGGAGTGGGCAAAGCCTTGACCGAGAAGGACCAGCCATGGCAGGGGCTGCCCTCCCTGCAGGCAGAAGACAGCACCTGCTCCCCGCACCTGCCAACGTGTGAACGAGACGCAGAGAAATGAGACCAGGTAGTAAACCTCATCAACAAAGGGGCCTGGCCCGATAACCCAGAACAATCAGCCCGGGACTTCTGGTTGAAACTGAGGGGCTGGCCACTACATCATGAATTCATAAATGCCCACAGAAGTGAAGTCACAGGCTGCTCCGGGCTTACTTACAGCTGTTTCTAACCTTACCTGCCCCATACCTTTACTTTCCTAGTCACCTTAGTAAAAGCCGCAGAGACAGTTCCTCGATTATGGGGTGTGTCCATCTAATTCCTCCTAATATCCAGTAACTATATGTTAAAGTCCTATCATTCATTCCATTCGTCATCCGTGCTCTGGGCTTAACAGGGGCTATTCTGCAGAGTGCCTCCCGGCTTATCCAGTGTCAGGATCATACCAGCCCGGATAGTCATCTCGGGTTTTCCTGATTCGTCCTCTGCACACAGAGTTTGATTTGCACAATGCTGGGTTTTGTTCTGCTCCATACTCACGTTCTCAGTCTCTAAGTGATGACTTGCCTCCCTTTTACAGAAATCGAGAAACTCAAATTTCAAGTTTTCCTGAGAGTTACAGGAAACAGGAATTCCCTATCAAGCAGTCCCTAAGAGTATTTCTTCTTTTACACATTTTCTCTCGTGGGCTAACAAACCACTAGCAAAAAAGGTGTTTTACATACACATATCAATATAGATTTGTGTACTTAATTTTTTATATAAATCAGTTGAAACAATAATAGGTCTCATGCTTTGTCAGAAAAAAATCCCAGAATATTATTGTTTGCCTTTTTAGATGGAGTAACCTCACTCAAAGACCACCCGGGGAAGCAGCGACCTGGCTCAGAGGGACAAGCACAGGCCCGGCATATGCCAGGTTCTGGGTTCAATCCCAGCACCAAACGCCGCCCTCTCAACTCAAACATCCCCAAGATAGGCCCTAGGCCCCCTGTTCCCTACCCACCTCAAGCACTGCCCAGGAGAGCACCTGCAACAGTTTTTTAAAAAGGGGAGAGGAGTACCAGGGAGGGGACTCAAAGGGTTGGAAAGTGAGTTTTGAGCGAGGGAGTCCCGGCTCCTCATGCTACCCCAGGCACAGCCTGCTGTGCCCCCCAGACCCCCTGCCTGAGACTATAGAGGGGCCAGAGCCACAACACAGCAGGTAAAGTGCTGCCTTGCACCTCACCAACTGGGATTCAAGCTCCAGCACCCATTTGGTCCCCCAACCATCAGCAAGAGTGATCCCTGAGTGCAGAGCCAGGAGTAAGTCCTGAGCACTCTCACTGGGTGTGCGCCCCCGCCCCCAAACAAACAAAACAAACAATAAAACCATCCAAGACTATAAAGGGAAATTGATCCCAGAAACCCAAGATTTTCCTACACTCCTGTTTATTCCAACAAAAATAAGCAAGGTATTACAAGTTTAAAGCAACCCTGTGGGACAGACTCTGGCGGCAGGAAACAGGAACACAGCACAGGACCTCACCTTTAAGTAGTAAACCAGAAGTTCATTGAGGGCGGGGTCAGCGTTCAGGTTAACGAGGAAACACTTATCATCCCCCACTTTGATTCCTGAAGACTGAAGGGATATCCCAAGGCTCTCGAGCTGCTTCTGGCGCTCCTGTAAAGGGAACAGAGAAACATTCACTGCAGTTCTGGGGCTCGGGCCTTACGGTAGTGTCGTTACTGAAAACCTCCAGCATTCACATAAGGGATCTCGGGACCTGGTATGGCAAAGCAGAACATGTTTCTCCCTCAAAACTAATGCTATTTTGTTTTATTAATTAAAAATTTCCTGGGGGGAGGGGTGCAGTAAGACAGTGCTACTGGTGAGCGCAGGCTGTGCAGGCAGGATGCCTGGGCACGACCCTCAGCACCACATGGCCGCTGCTGCACCAGTAAGGGAGACACTCCAAGCTCAGAGACACGAGCAGCTCCCCAGCACAGCCAGGTATGGCACAAAACCAAAAAGCAAAAACTTTTGACAAAAACGGAACCATTGGGGCTGGAGTGATAGCACAGTGGGTAAGGTGTTTGCCTTGCATGCGGCCGATCTGGGTTCAATTCCCAGCATTCCATATGGTCCCTGAGCACCGCCAGGAGTAATTCCTGACTGCAGAGCCAGGACTAACCCCTGTGCATCGCCGGGTGTGACCCAAAAAGCGAAAAAAAAAAAAAAGGAACCATTGCAAACACAACTAAATACTATATATTCTTGAAAATTACCAACATTGTGAATTAATCCTTTTTTTTTTTAACCTAATTCCTTGCCTTGCACGCAGCCAACACGGCCGACCCGAGTTTGATTCCTTCATCCCTCTTGGAGAGCCCGGCAAGCTACCAAGAGTATCTCGGCCTCACAGCAAAGCCTGACAAGCTACCCATGACACATTCAATATGCCAAACACAGTAACAAGTCTCACAATGTTACTGGGCCTGCTCGAGCAAATCGATGAACAACAGGAGGACAGTGACAGTGACAGTGACAGTGAACCTAATTCTGCACATGTTAGCAAATGCATATTTCTTTCAGTTAACTAATTTTTCTAAAACACGAAGATGGCCATATGTTTTCCTAGCTGACGTCCTCAGTATCAGACTCCCAGGCAAGCCCTCTGTCTGGTGTCCTGCTTCTGCCCACCATCCTGTCACCCACTCTCGGACCCAGAACCACAGCTCAGCTAAGCCCAAGAGCACCAAGACCCGCCTGAGCTTACGAGACCTCGCATGGGTTCTCTCGCTGGGGCCTGTCCTCAGACTCGGCAGCCGTCCCTGTTAGGAGACGTACCCAGCCGTGTCTTTGGATAGCACACCCTCATGGGATGGTTTAAAGATGAAAATTTTAAGTCTATGAAGACTTTTAAAAAATGTACCCCAAGCATGAAACATCCCTGGCCACCAACCCGGACCAAGCTAGGATGAACGAAGGGCCATCTGCCTCACCCGTGACTGACAGAACAACATTACCAATAGCCAGGGGCAAAAAAAAAATGCGTATTTAAGTGAAATTACAATGTTGAGATGGGTCAGGTGTGGTCAAATCATGGCCCTGGTTGAAACCCAAGCTGCCACTTAGTTTTGTAAATAAAATTTCATGGTGCGTAACTATACCGTTTACTGACATATTATTCATGGCCTCCATGGCAGAGCTGGGCTGCAGTGTCCTTAAAGAGTGGGATATTTACTGACACATGACAGGAAAAAAATCAATCAGCTTATGATATCAAAAGTGATATTCAGTGACGTCAGTAAATATATTTTTTCGTGAGATACCTAATTTTGTTTGGGATCTTACCCAGCAGTGCTCAGGGTTTACTCCTGGCTCTGTGCTCAGGGATTACTCCTGGCAGCCTCAGGGGATCATATGGGGTGTCGGGGAATTGGACAAGTGCAAGGCCAGCACCATATTACTGCACTATCTCCCTGGCCCCTCATGCTATACTTTTTTTTCCTGCTTTTTGGGTCACACCCGGCAATGCACAGGGGTTACTCCTGGCTTTGCACTCAGGAATTACTCCTGGTGGTGCTCGGGGGACCATATGGGATGCTGGGAATCGAACCTGGGTTGGCCACATGCAAGGCAAATGCCCTACCTGTTGTGCTATCACTTCAGCCCTATATATTTTTTTCTTTTTGGGTCACACCCAGCGATGCACAGGGGTTACTCCTGGCTCTGCACTCAGGAATCACCCCTGGCGGTGTTCAGGGGACCATATGGGATACTGGGAATTGAACCCGGGTTGGCTGCATGCAAGGCAAATACCCTACCTGCTGTGCTATTGCTCCAGCCCACAGCCCTATACTTTTAATATGTAAACTTATTCCTAGACATTGCAAACATTCCTTAAGCCTTTTTTGGTTTAGATAAAAAATTTGTGGGTTTTTTCCTTGCAATTATAAAAACTCAAATGGCAGAAAAATGCCAAACTATAGATACTAGTTCCTTACTGCTGCCCTAGAGAATCATTCACTTATATTCCTGCCTCCCCTTGTGTTTGCTCGGTAACCTTGATGACCCTCTACCCAGTGACATTTATTCCACATTTAGTAATCAATATTGGACAGAGGTCAGAAAGTCGTAACTGAGGGGCGTGGGAGCACACAGCACACAGGGGCCATATGGGGGCTTGGAGGAGACCCACCCAGCGGCGCTGGGGAGCCTCCGGAGAAACCCCAATCCACTGACTTCCCACGGATACTTCCCAGAGCTGCCCAAGCACAGACCACTTCTTCCCCAGATAACCTACTAATAACCTGTGACTCCACCAACCAGAAGAACATTCCGGGAACTGCGAGTGTGTGTTGCAAGGAAGTCAATGATCAACAGAGCAGGGCTAGTCCAGTGAGACAGAAGAAAGTTCACCACGCCAAAAAAAGCAGGGGGGAAGGGGTGGTTGGTTGTGTACTTGGGAGGTAGCTGAGAAGGTTAGTTCACGTGCTTTGCAGGTGGGAGACCCAGAATTGATCCCAGCACTGCATCTCTGTGTTCCAAAAAACCAGGAAGGAAAGGAGAAGGGAGGAAGGGAAGGGGGAAAGAAGGACAGGGGAGGGGAGGGGAGGGGAGGGGAAGGGAGGCACAGGGATGCAAGCTCAATGCAGCAAAGTCTGGCCTTGCAGATAGGGGAACAGAGAACTGGGTAAACTGAGGCCTGTGAGGAGAGCACAGCCTGAGAAGGAGAGTGTAAAAGGCGGCTACACGGGAAGGTGCCCTCAGACCCACAGCTCAGCAGGGTCCGTGCTTCACCAGGTGGCCCAAATGCTCACACACCAGTTCCCAACTGAACAACTCCGAGAAAGGCTGCCGACTGAGGAAAACAAATAGTGAAAAGGCAGCGAAGTGCTGCGCTGGCCGGTGCTCGCTCTGTAAATGGGAGCTTCGAAAATAACCCTGAGCATGGTGCATATAAAGCAAGACCCGCTGCATCGCGGATCTTCAATGAAGCCGGGGGCTGGATGCATGGGAGTTGATTCCTCCCCCCTCGTGTTTTGGTCCAGTTTGAAAAATATATATATTTTTTAAAAGTTACGGAAACCGACTTGAATCCTCGATGGCACGAATCTGACTGTTCCACTCCACAAGGGCAGGACAGTCCATCCAGCACACGGAGAGATGGGTGTGCTCAGTGACAGGCGGCAGCCGGTTCCCAGGACCCGCCCCAGGACCCACCTGTGCGATCTCCTCGGTCTTCCTTAGCTTCTCCTCCCACGTCACTGTCATTTCCTGGATGAGCTTCTCCGATTCCTCCAGCCGGTCTTTGAGCTCAGGAGATTTCATTGCCTACGAGCAAAGTGTTGGTTTGTGAACTGCAGAGAAGGCAGAAGCGAAGTCCAGGACACAAGCAAGAGTCAGCACCGGGAGCACGTGTGCATCCGGGAACTACCAGCAAGGGCTGCATATGCCACAGACGCAGGCCCTGGGCACCAAGTGTCCACCCAGTTGTCCACGAGGGACTGGAAAGAAGTCTCAGCCCTTCCATTTACCTGCAACCGACTGTTAGCACAAAGCCCCAGGCCTGAGGAGGCAGAAGCTGCAGCTCTGACAGCCTGACAGGGCTCAGGTCGGGCTCAAGGCCCACCTCATGGCCGATTCCACACCCGCGGCTTTCGTACTCAGTCAACTACAGACAGACTGAGTTTGAACTGTGAAATTATCCCTGTAGATCAGGCTACGATCCAACAGGAGAGAATACGGTCACTGTGAGCGCCCTGACCATATATGGAAGTGACTTACTGCCGGACAGGCGCTGAGGGGAAGGGGGCTGTCACCCGGCGCCCAGGAAGGACCCCCAGTGCAAGAACCCTGTGGGACCAGACACAAATGGAGGAGTACCCAGCCAGTATCCCTGTGACTCCTGTCAAGAGGCTGCAGACCAACTAGAATTGTGCGTTTTCTCAAACCCACGGGAAGTGAACATCAAGTCTCAGTGACGAGAAAGAGTTAGAAAAAGCACTTCTCTGACGGGGGGGGAGTTCTGCGGTGAACCACTATGTTTTACAAACAGAATTACCCCACAAAAGCGTAGATTAGGGTGCACAAGACTTCCCTGAGATGGTAAGGTGGCAGTTTCACCTCAACTGATTATCGAATGATAAAAGAGAAATCTGATTCTGCTCCCAATTATCTATGCCCAGGAAACACCATTTTCTGCACTGAAATGAATAATAAACTTTGATGCTTCTCTCTCTCCCTCTCTCTCTCTCCCCTCTCTCTCCTTTTCTCTTCCTCTCTCTCCTCTCCCCGCTCTCTCTCCCAACCTCTCCCTCTCTCCCCCCCCCTCCCTCTCCCTCTCTCTCTCCTCTCTCCCTGCTCTCACTCTCTCCGTCACTCTTCCTCTCTCTCCTCACTCTCCTCTCTCCCCCTCTCTCCTTCTCTCCCTCCTCCCCCCTTCTATGGTCTAACCCCCCTGCCCCGCCTCCCTCTCCTGCCTGTATTGTGGAAGTTCTATTCTCTTTACTCTATCACCCAATGCTCTAGCACATCTAGAAACCACATTTCCATGGGAACTTTCTCCCTTGTCTATCTCTCAGACTCTTCTCCCATAGGAAACTCAGAAGCTCTACGGGGGCTGCTGGTCCTGGGGAGGCGAGGCGGGACTAAGGAGGGAGCACTTCGGCGCGAGTCGCACCTCGGCTTTGGTCAGCTGCTCCCGCAGCTTCTCCACCTCTTCACGCAGGTCCCGGATGATGCGGGCGTTGGGGTCCTCGTTCACCACGGCGTGGTTCACGATGTGCTTGGCACGGTCGGCGTAGCGCAGCGTGGACAGGGTTTCGTCATAGTTATCCGCTGCCGGGCTCACCGTGGCCACCATGGCCGTCTTGCTGTTTCCCCCGAGACTGTCCTGGAAGGGAAGGGACATTGAGCCACAGTGGGAAGCGGACAGCGGATGGGAGAGTGGAAGTTAGGGATGGCACAATGGAGTCCCGAGGGGGGATGACGCTGGAGGACAAAAGCTGGCCAGTGCCCTGCAGCCCAATGGGCGCACTCTAGAGCTGCTTCTGGGCAGAGAGAGCGAAAGAAAACTCAGTTAAACCTACGTTCATTTCTCTCTCGGAAAAATGAATTCTAAGCCTTAGCATCCTCTTTCTCTTTGTGCTTGGTTCAGTTCAGGGCCAACAGGCAGCAGAACTTTGGGGCTGCTTTGGTGCCAGAGATCGGACCCCGGGGACCCTGCAGACCGGGTGTGTGCCGTGGCCACTGAGCTACTCCTCAGCCCAGTTTGTCTTCTCTGACAAGCGTTCCCTTAGCCCACAGGAAGAGAAAATGCACTAGGGTACAAGGCACCTGTACAGACGCCAGCAAGGGAGAAATGCACACACAGATTATGCTGCAAACAACAAATACTTAATATCTTAAATCCTGAGTGCATGTGCAACAGTTAGCTGAAAGGACACAGCAACAAAGGAACTGGCACTCATTCAGGGGGAAAGTATAAAGTCTCTTGTTCATTCTTTAATTGTTTAATTAGGCAAATCAAACGAGCATTGTTTCGAAGACAGCAATTGCAAATTAAATGGACAGAGGAAAGAAATTTAATTTTGGAGAGTCAAGATTTTTTAAAGCTGAAAGAACTCTTTTTAAGTCACCTAATCAAATTACTTCATTTCACAGGCAAGAAATCGTGACCCCGGAAGAGTGACAGACTTGGCAAGGGTCATAAGGGTCAGCCAGAGCAGGGCAGAAATAATTCATTCATTCAACTCTCAGTGGCCTTTACCACCCAGAGGCCCATTCTGAGGAGAAACACTCTACAAGACAACTAAAGCAGGAAGATAGGAAGGAAAGTCTGGAAAACACGCCAAGGTTGCGGAGATTCCCAGAGAGAGCGGCATCTGAGATCTAAAAGTGAATGAGCATCATCAAGAAAAAGAAAAGGTGGTAAGTCTACAACTGTACCTCATGGTGTTTCACTGATAAATATTAAAAAAAAAAAAAAAGGTGGGCCAGAGAGATAGTACAGTGGGTAGCACAGTGGGTAGTGCACTCGCCTTGAATACAGCTGACCCAGGTTCAATCCCAACATCCCATATGGTCCCCAGAGCCAGCCAGGAGTGATTCCTGAATGCAGAGCCAGGAGTTACCCCTGAGCAACTCCGGGTGTGCCCTCCCCCCAAAAAAACAGCAGAAAAATAAAAAGGGCCAAAATTTAAACAAAACACTAAAACAAAAGGCAAGGGCTGCAGGCTTTGCACGCAGGAAGCTCTGGTTCAGTCCCCAGCATTCCAGAGTCCCCTGAGCACTGAGCACTGCAGGAGGCATCCCTGAGCACAGAGGAGGGAGTAACCCTTAAGCACCAAAACAAAACTGAGGAAGCCAAACACACAAAAATTGCAATAATTGCCTGGGTTCTCTAAAAAGAGTTTCATTTTGTTCTTCCAGTCTTTTCAACGGTGTCTCTCAATACTAGGGAAGTTGGGTGCTGCCCCTTTGTGATGAAAAGAAGGGGCACAACCCAGAGGAAGATGATAAGCAGCGAGGCCAGCAGGGGCTGTGTCTGGTCCTGCTCTGTGTCCCCTGCCACTGGAGGGAAATGGGGACATACCAGTCACCGTCCTAACAGGAAACAGCCCTGGAGGGGATCAGGAGCCCCAGAAATAAAGTGTCCGGCCTCCAGCTTCTAAGCTGGGTGTCCAGTTATTACTCAGGGGCCATGACGTGGCTCAGGAGGCAGATCACATGTGTGAGACCTTCGCTCAGTCCCCAGCCCCGCATGGCCCCGTGTTCCACCAGTTGGAGCCCCAACAAGAACTTAAAAAAAAAATTACCATAGGCATCTTCAGTCAAGTTAATATTAAATACTTCCTATTGTCAGTTTCAATGGACTGAATAACAATGATATAACAGGGACAATATTTTTATGTCCTTCAAATCAGACACATCCTAAAAACACTCATGAATTATCAGGAAAGTTTTCTGTGAAAAGTTTAAGAAAGAAGTCTCTCAGTGTGGAGTTCATGCCCAATTCAATCAGCCTAAATCAGTGGCTGAATAAATAGCAGTACTCCTACATTTAAAAAAAAGAAGAAGAAGAAGTCTCTTAGTAAGACTTCTTCTAGAAGTCAAACAAATTTCAAGAGATTTCAAGGTTAACTGTTGCCAAATGAAGACCAGAACAATTAGCTCTTTGGTGGTGAAATGTTTTGTAATACCCCTTCAATTCAAGAGTTATGTACAAGTGGTTTTCTAATGACTAAGAATTTGTTTGCTTATCCCTTTGTTCGAAATTTTCACAATTTGACTATGCTTTGGTCAAAGGCAGGATTCCATTCAAGTTTCTACTTTGGCAAGTTTCATTTACTATGGTCTGTTCAAACAGTACACAGAGTTTTAACAAGTCAAGCTGAAGACCAGGGAAACTTCAGCGAGAGAGAGAGCAAAAGGAAGCAGGCTCCCTCTCCCAGCGGGTCTAGCCCTGTCCTCAGCTAGACTAGGCGGCTGTGCTAACTCAGCCTGATGTTCTCAACACCTGTCACTAACGCGGCGGCAGCAAGCCCTAAAGATCACAGGAAGTTAGAGAAACAAGGTCCAAAGTACGAGCCCGCCTAGCACAGGGAGTGTGAGAGAGAGGAAGTGTACAGGGCTCACATTGTTCTTTTTCATACAAATCTCAAAAGCAAGAGTGATACGGCACACACCAACTTGAACCTTCTCCCGGGTTCTGGTGAGCCAGAAGCGACCCATGCTAAATCCATCAGGCTGTGGTCACATTTCAGAGCCATGAGACTGGATAAACGGGGTGGGGGGAATGCTCAGCGGGCAGGACGGTCCACTCTGGATTTCCCCTGCCACCAACCACCCAGAGCATGCCAGGAATGGGGGCGAGGGGGCGGAGGTGGGGAGCGGAGACTTACTTTGAGCAGCCAAGTGAGGACTGAGTCACGATAGGGAACGAATTTGTTCTTGTTTTTGCCAGCACTCTGGTCTGCCAGGGCGGAGATGACCAGGCCGAGGGTGGTGAGGGACCTGCATGGAGATGTGTGAGAAGCAGCGACATTACACAGCGCGTGCCCGCCCTCGTGGCGGTGCGCGGCCAGCGCTGTTATCAGCATCCCCGTCTCCTTTTCAACCCCAGCATCCCTGAAAGTCAGTCTCCCTCTAGTACCAGTGGCCGAAGCCATAAAACTGCTTAGCTCAGTTCCCCGCAACTGTCGTAAATTAAAAATGTGAACTATTTATCTTTAAGGAGAACAGCACAAACACAGCCGCTCTTTAAGAAAGAAAGCCACAAACACGACATGAAAACACAGCCCCTCCTGGAGGCTGGGGCAACAGTACAGGGCATCTGCCTGCATACGACCCACCTGGGGATGATCTTCAGCCTCCCGTAGGGTCCCCCGAGACGAGCCGAGCCCATCAGGGGTAATCCCTGAGCATAGAGCCAGGAGGAAGCCCTGAGCACCGTGGGGTGTGTCCCCAAATGTCCCTCCCCTCAAAATAAACTAAAAGCAGTTGAAATAGATGGAGCCCATCATCACACTGCTTTGGGCTTCCTATGTTCCAGGGTCTCGGGCTGGGACAATGTCACACTGCTGTGCTGGGTGTCTGGGAAGCACAAGGACAGGAAAGTTTCCTGAGCCCAGGAGCTAACAGCTTAGCCCAAATTTAGAACCCATTGCTGGTGAAGAAAGCTTGGGGTGTGGACAGTGGTGAGGCCGTCATAGAGCAGCGAGGCCCATGTGTGCCCAGGGCTGAAGACCCGTCACCTTTGTGTTCCCCGGCTGCCCGGGCTCCACTGTGGGCAGGGGCCAATGTCTGAAGAGAATCTGGGAGGGGGCAGGCACTGCTGCCTCTCAGGCTGCCCCCAAGCACCCACAGCCCCAGAGCGCCACCAGGTCCTCAAGGCAGGTCCTCCCGTTGTTCATCGATTCGCTCGAGCGGGCCCAGTAACGTCTCTATTTTGAGACTTGTTGTTACTGTGTTTGGCATATTGAATATGTCACGGGTAACTTGCCAGGCTCTGCCGTGCGGGCAGGATACTCTCGGTAGCTTGCCGGGCTCTCTGAGAGGAGCGGAGGAATCAAACCCGGCTCGGCCGGGCTGGATGCACGCAAGGCAAACGCCCTACCGCTGTGCTATCACTCCAGCCCTGAGGCAGATATGGGGTGAAATTGCTTTACTTAAGAAATATGACAGTAGAGAAAGGAAGGAGGAGTGGGTGGTCATAGAGTAAAAGATCTGTCCATTCCAGGGAAGAATGCAGGCGATCTAGAAGGAGCTGTGCTCCGGGCCCTGAGCTGGGCCTGTGCAAGCTGTACCCCCCACCCCTGCCCTCGGGCACCTTGGCCAAGCTCTCACGGGGCTCAGGCCCATGACAAACACAGGCCTTGGGAAACACCCGACCCGCTCCTCACTGCAGCTCCCGCTGGCCCCCTACTTCCCTCAAGTGTACACCCCGAGCCCAGCCGGGCGACACACTGACTTGTTGATGTTGCTGCCCTCTTTCAGACGGTCCCCCGCCGCTCCCGTCTTGGTGGCGCGCTCACTGCCAGCCAGGTCCACCAAGCTCAGCTTGCCCACTTTCTCTCCGGATGTCTGGAAGGGGGAGGGAGAAAGTTAAGTGGATAGAACACAGAAGAGAGTCGCCTCTTTCCTGGCGAGTTCTTATCACATTCCGTTAGTAAGGAGATCTTGGCAGGGGTATGGGTGGAGGGGTTGTTGAATTTTGGGTCACAACCAGTAGGGCTTCAGATCTATCCCTGGGACCATGCTGGGGCAAGGGCACACCCAGGGGTGCTCAGGGGACCCGACTGCAATGCCAGGAGACAAACTGGGGTCAGCCTCATGCAAAGGCAGCGCCTTAGCCCGGGATGAGTCTTAATGCCGTTATTACTATTTCAGTCCATTTGTGCTGGTCAGAGACTAAAAACTGTCCAGTCTAGTTGGTAGCCACAAAATGACACAGACTTTGACTAACTTCAACTTGTGTCCCCAGGGACCAGAGAGATCGGATCACGGGTAGGGCGTTTGCTTTGCAGTGGCCCAACCCAATTTGATCCCCAGCACCACATAGGATCCCCCAGGCTCATGAGGAGTGACCCCTGAGCACAGAGCCAGGAGTAAGCCCAGAGCATCACTGGGTATGACCCCCAAAACAAACAAACAAACAAGATACTGCCACCCAATAGACATTTTACTGAAGGGAACTCAAATTATTATTGAAATCTGATTTCAAAGTGTACATAACATTTCATAACTATTCATTTATAATACTGAGGGAAAGTGCTTGTGATTCTTACACAAGTTTAAAAAAAAAAACCCTTCGGGGCTGGAGCAATAACACAGCTGGAAAGGCATTTGCCTTGCATACGGCAAAACTGGGTTCGATTCCCAGCATCCTATATGGTCCCCCAAGCACCACCAGAAGTAATTCTTGAGTGCAGAGCCAGGAGGAACCCCTCAGCATTGCTGGGTGTGACCCAAAAGGCAAAAACAATAACAACAACAACAAAACAACATGACACTTTAGGGCTAGAAAGTACAGTGAGTAGGGTTGAATAACCCCCGAGTAACCCAGTAACATCACTGGGTGTGGTTCCCCAAAAACAAAAACAAAAAACATTTTCTAAAAGCTTTATATTAATACATAATAATTCATATTAATACATTTCATATATAATACTCCCAGGCATCAAATTCTTAATTCCAGGCATCAAATTCACATACTCTCTAGTTATTACATACATGCATAAACAGTGACATTTTCTGTCATCAAAAAATGTTCCCATGTCAAATCACATGCATCACAGATGGTCCTACTCCACAGCAATACAGAGTCCAGAGCCACGCCCAGGCTGAATCCTGTTTAAGAGCTTTCCATTAAAATATATACTTATATTCTATTCCCTAGGTTGCAAACAAGAGGATACTCAGTTTTCCCAAATCAAAAGTATTTGTGGGTCCAAAAAACAATTCAATATGTTTTCGTCTTCTGCTAAGAAAGAAATAGAAAACAAAGAACTTTTTGTTGTTACACTAATCTTGCTGTGACGGTCAAAAAAACAAAAAGAAAAGAAAATGTGCTTCAGCAAATGAAAATCTTGCCAAAATCTAGCATTTTGCCAGCACGATGATTTAACTTCTGGTATTTGAAGCTGATTCGCTGAGGGGGAGGCATACCGAAATATGCCAAAGGGAGAGAGAAGACAACATATCCGAGATGTTTTCAGGGTGGCGAAGCTTATATGGCTCTTTCTGGCATGTGCTTCCTAAGCTTCGAAACCAAATACTCAGGAATGATTCCATAATTCTCTGACTCCTTGGTTGAACCACCCCAGTGACACCCACGACGCGGGCCGGCACGCCAACACCAGTGAACAGACGCCACCGTACAGACACCGGCCCACCACCATGGGTGGTTCTGCCCTGACCCCGTGTCACTGGAGAGGGTAGTGGGACCCCCATTTCCCGGGCTCTCCCATGCCAGGATTCAGGGTGTGCCCGAGGTTGTGTTGGTGAGATATACTTGCTTATGGTCTGGCAAGCGGGAGTAAAGAAGAACTTCCCCCCCGCCCCACTCCCCGCACCGCCCCTTCCATGGCGCTTTCCGCAGGAGAGCGAGCCTGTGAAAGGAAGCCCTTGTCCATGGGAGTGTCTGGGGGGCCAGGCTCGGGACTCCCTGCCATCTGAGCCTGGAACTGTGCCATCTGAGACCTCGGGGGCAGAGCGTGGCTGGAGGATGAGGTGTGTATTTGGGCATTGCTCTTAGAGATGCTGTGTGGAACCTTCCCCTCTTCCAACACCCCAACAATGCTAGTCACTGCCTTCCTGCCTAAACCCTACCATTTGCTAGGGTGGCCTCTGGGTCTTGTCCTGAATCTGACCTGACACATACTGACCGGGGTTCGAGCCAATGGACCCCAGTGGCAGACACCATAAACCCTGATGCTCATCCTAATTCTTCCAGGGCAAGAGTCATTTCGGGAACACCTACCCCAGACTTCACGTCGTACAGAGTGTGCGTGAGGGTGATTTTGAAGACCGCGTGGGACCGGCTGCTCTCTTCATTCATGTTGGTGGCAGCCACTGTGCGGGACTTGTTTCCCTCTGACATCAGAGACTCGATGTCCTGCAGGGACAGGTCACAGACACGCATTTCAGGAGCCGCTGGATGACGAGGAGGCACACACAATCTACGCCAAATCTCTCTCCTCCGTCAGAAACATTTTGGAGCTGATGTGCTGTTTTTCAATGTTAAGCCCTCCCCAGACTACAACAGCCTAATGTTGCCTCTGAAAGTTCAACTCAGGTATGTTACTTTCTGTAGTTGCAAACATTAAGTGGCAACTTAGACTAAGAAAATGAAGAGTTAGAAGTTACACATGAGTCCAACAAACGGGAGCTGGCATGAAAAACAGGTCATGTCAACCCTCCTTTATCTAGAAGTTTGGGGATGGGGGGGGAATCAGTTTAATTATAGAAGCAAAAGAAATTAATTGTTCAATCAAATTAGTCATAGAAACAGGCAACAGAAAAGATAACCCACAACTACTCACAGGCAGATCACTGTATATGTATTATCAGACTTACTTTTCAAAATGAGATTTTCTGCACAGATCGACTACCCCATTGCCACGATTGATATGACAGAGTCAACGTCAGGTCACAGGCTCTTCACTGCTAATGACCAGAGAGGCATTCCAATGGCCAGAGTATGCAGGAGCCTTGGGTTCAATTCCCAGCACCACACGGTCCCCCCACCACACCATCGGGAGCTCCCCCCACCCCCACCCAGGCATCAAGCTGACCATTGCTGGGTGTGACACAGAAAACAAACAGAGCTACAAGTTGTGAAACAGTTACCTAACCAATCCGAATTTTAGCCTCATAATAAGGACCCAAGACTAACATTGACCTTATAAGGGATTCTAATGAGGAATAAAAATAATTATATGAAATGTGCATGAAAGATTATTTTCTTCAAGCTCCTTTCTTAATGTATTTATTTTGTTTGGGGTACCACCCCCAGCAGTGCTCAGGGCTTACTCCTGGGTGGTGGTTTAGGACCACAGGAGGCGACGATGCTCAAACCCCGCCAGCAGCATGTAAGGTAAGTGCCCTACCCACTGGACTACCTCTCTGGCCCCTCAGGCTCCTCTACTTATAGCAAAGGACTATCTCCCAAGGACCGAGGGAGGGTACAGTGGGGAAGGCATCTGCGTTGTGCGTGGCCAACCCAAGGTCACTCCTCAGCACCCCAGATGATCTCCCGAGCACCGTCAGGACTGATCTCTGAGTGAAGAGTCTGGGGTAAATCCTGATGGCTCAAATATCAAAATTAAAAATAAAATCTTAAAATTTTTTTTAAATATTTCAATCTTCCACTGAGCACATTACAGTTAAGAGACAAATTTCCCAGATGCCACTGCAAGTCTGACAGGACATAGAAATAAGCTTCAGTGAACGAGAGTCTAATGCCAGTCATCTGGGAATTATCCTAAAAGGAAAATGGGCCAAAGGCTGGAATGCAGGCAGGAGTCCCCAGGTTCCATCCCCTGCATTGAGCACTACTGGGCGTGGGCTCCCCCCGCCCCCCAAAAGGGAGAAACTACCCATAAAGGACTCATGGACATATGCAATGCCGATAAGTACACTCCTGTGTACACAACAGTGCCAGATCTTGTGTACACAGGTCTTGTGGTACTGGAACACGTGTAAGTCCCATGTATATTACATCACAGCCTCCCACTACCATCCGCGCCGCCCCCCTCATCCCCAGCATGCAAAGCGTGACAGACACAGAGGGAACAGGATGAGGGGTCTGGACTGACAGGCCCTGGGAACCAAGTATGATGAGTTCTTCCCTCAGCGAGGAACAGGCTTGGAAGAGCAGCTCGTCTCATTACACCAACACAACCAAAAGCAATCTGATGATGTGATGCACTCCTGTGAACATCCCTTGCAGATGCAGAGACCTGCTCACCCACTGACTCCCTACCAGAGGACTACGTAAGTAAATTATTTACTGAGGGATACTTCTAGAAGTGTTGTTCCTTTCAGAAGACAATTATCACGAACCCCCCAGAAGTCCTCTGCTGCTATGAGACCGTGAAGCGGTTCACACAAAGGCTGCTGCCCTTACCTTGTAGCTCGTGACGGCCAGCTTGGAGAGTCCATCCACATAGGGTCCCAGGACACTGTGTTCTCTGACTTTCAGCGTCTGGCGGCTTCTGCTCATTCAGAACAAAGAGACACTCTTTCAGCGCTGTCCTGTTTGCAAAGGATTCAACTATCTGTACACCATAAAACACACTAAATTCAACAAAGATCCCAAGTAAGTAAAACCAACTGACTTGATCCTCCGAAGAATGTACAGCGGAATCTAAAATCGTGATTGGTTAGTGACCCTTCACAAAGCGGTGAACGGCGCAATGCCCCAGGGGCACCCGTGGGACGGCACTTGCTGAGGAATGCAGCGTCGGTAGAAAAACGGGCCACTTGTCAGATGGCAGAAGGGGCACAGAGGGTTGAGACGCAATAAATGTTAATTGTGCAAGTGAGAGAAACAAAAATGGCAAACGAAACCCCACAAGTTAAAAATGATGATTTTTTTTTACCACACCCAGTGGTGCTCAGGGTTTACTCCTGGCTCTGTGCTCAAGAATCACTCCTGACAGGCCCAGGGGACCACATGGGGTGCTGAGGATGAAAATCAGGACTGCAGTGTGCAAGGCAAACATCCTCCCCACTGTATTATTGCTCCTGTCCCCTAAAATAATGAGTTAAAAGAAAGAAATAGGGCTTGTCTGTGGGTTGTTTTAACGTTGGAAAAATTCATGTCTTTCACCAAAATGGGGGGGAGGGAGGCAAAATCGTCACATAATCTTTGCAACAGGTATAGAAAAAGGAACTGATTAAATAAATATGCCTCTTATCAAACAAGGAACTGCTAAAACCGGTAAGGACAGCTGCCAAACCAAGCACATAAAACACATTTAGTGATTCAACTGACAAATATTAAGAATATTTGTTGACAATTGCCTGGCATGTGAATTGGGTCTCTCAAAAGCTCTTTAAAAACAGAAGCATTACAGTGAAAATAAAGAGCATTTGTTAGTAGTGAGATCCCATTTGATTCTGATGTAACTTAATATTTTCTATTGATTTGGGATCTTACTGGTCCCTAGGATAAACTCCTAAAAATTTCACTTACAATTATATATATAATTTATTTTTATTTTATTGTATTTTGCTTTTTGGGTCACACCTGGCGATGCTCAGGGGTTACTCCTGGCTTTGCACTCAGGAATCACTCCTGCCAGTGCTCAGGGGACCATATGGGATGCTGGGAATCGAACCTGGGTCAGTCGCGTGCAAGGCAAATGCCCTACTCACTGTGCTATCACTCCAGCCCCTCAATTACAATTATAAGTTGTGTATGATGTAGATATAAAACAATCATTTGACTTAGTTCAAGTCAGGATATTTTCTTCCTAGTCTAACTCTTGCCATTTCATTTCTCTCCCTTTTAAAGAGGACATGTACTGTATCGTTTCCTGAGTGAACGAGCATAGCTTCATCATTACACAGGGGAGACGCTAGATGATTAAAATCAACACTTGAACCACAGAGCGCAGGCTCTGTATGCAGGGGGACCAGATTCCATTCCCCACACTGGCGTAGTCCCGACATTCCCTGGGACTAAACCAAAATGCACCAAGCCAGGAGTAGCCCTCAAGCACCGCCCAGTGCCCACAGAAAATAAAACCCACCAAAGAAAAACACCTGAGATCTCTTTCACTGCCAAGAGGTCACCAAAGAACTTTCCATTCGTTTAACTCATCACTTCAGAAACGTGACAAAATCCTAAAGGATTTCGATGGAACCCTTAATGTGTCCTCAGCCTGTGGGTGCCACCCACCAACACTCACAGCAGCCCCAAGCCTCCCCACCTCTCCTTAGAGGAGCTGATCAAAACTGGGGGAACCCAAAGCCCAAGGTGCTCATTACTAAACTAGACAGAGGTAAACAGAAGAAACGCCTCCAGACTGGGAGCAACGTGGAGACGGCGAGGTCCTCGCTAGGAATGAAAAGCACAGAAATGAGGCCAGTGAAAAAATTCAGGAAAGTGGGGCTGGAGCAACAGCACAGCGGGTATGGCATTTGCCTTGCACGCAGCCGACCCGGGTTCGATTCCCAGCATCCCATATGGTTCCCTGAGCACCGCCAGGGCTAATTTCTGTGAGCAGAGTCAGGAGTAACCACTGTGCATCGCCGGGTGTGACCCAAAAATAAGAAAAAAAAATTGGGGAAAGAGTGGGTCCAGCCAGCTCTCAGAGAAAGTGATGGTCTCATGGGGGTGAAGGCGCAGGCTGAAGCGGAGGTCTGAGGGCACACGGGAGCCAGATGCAGCAGCCAGGCCTGTTCCCTGCTCCAAGTCTGAGCACCCTGGGCCAGGCTTCTGGTACTTCTGGCCAGCTCCAGGCTCGGGCACAGCCCACAATCCCTCTGAAACGTTTCAGAACCTCCTCCAGCCCTGAGAAGTCCCACTCTGCTGTGAACTCTCCATCGAGGGCCAGGAAGATAGCTCCATGGCTGGGCCACTTGTCTTCCATGCAGGGGGTCCGGGCTCAGCTGAGGAAAGGAATGTCCAGTCCCCCAAGCACTGCCAGGACTGACTCCTGAGCATCACCAGCAGGAAGAACCGATGGGTGTATTTCACCCTAAGCCCCCTCTTCTCCCCCTCCCTCCAAGAAAAAGACTCAGAAAAATTCAACTGTCCCCTTGTGAGCTCTGCCTTCCTCTGTTGCTTGTCCAGTGCCTGGAACATAACAAATTTCCTTCCACAGAGGGAAGGCCAAGTTTGGTACAGGAACCCCCGCGCCCAGCGAGTCTCACTGTATAGGCCTGGAGAGCATCTGTTGCCAGGGAAACACGGGGCAGGCGATGGGAGGGAGACAGCACAGTAGGCTGAGTGCAGCTGTGTTCCGTCCCCGGCACTGTGTGGTCCCTGGACTGCCAGGCACGACCCCCCCCAGCACCGAGTCAGGAGGAGCTGCTGACCACACCTTGAGGTGACCCCCAGAGAGAAGAGACGCTCACTGGAATGTTTCTTCTCCAGGAACCTTTAGGGTTAATTACCCTGGGGTCCAGGTTTCATCCCCTCACTGTGCCTCACCTTCATTTTATAGAGTGCCAACAAAATACTAAAATTTCTTGGGTTAATAAAAAAAAAAACAGTTGGGAGCCTAAGAGAGAGTAGAGGGAGCAGGTGAGGCCAACCCCACATGGTCCCTCGAGCACTGCCAGGAGTGACACTGGAATGCTCCCAGGTAGGCTCAACCCCTACCCCCAATTAAATAATAAAATTAAAAGCTTTTAGTAGTTTTTTATTTAGAGAGAAAGAGAGAGAGAGAGAGAGAGAGAGAAGCACGGGCAAGAGACATACAGGCAACTTTGCAGGCACTTGCCCTGCATGTGGTCAACCATCGTCCAACCCTCAGCACCTCCTATGAACCCCTGAGCACAGAGCCAGAAGTAGCTCCTGAGTAGTGCCAGGTATGTCCCAAACACCTCCCCCTGCAAAAAATGAGTCAGGGGTAGGGGCAGCAACAACATGAGAAGTCTCTCTTCACAGCTCTGACCACACCTGGGAAAGGTGTGAACCTCTACCTGTACCCTAACGGCGTTTCCACGGGGCCCTGAACTGCCCCTGAACTCCAGTCTGTGCAGGCCAGCCTTAGGGTCAGAACCGGAAACACACAGACTCCCAGTGTAACTGCAAATGAGTGATACAGATGATTCGATGGCTGCCTGCTAGGGAGCACACAGGGCTTCGCTAGCTGTCAGGATGTGGGGTGTGGCATGGGGAGCCTGGGTGGGGAGGGGTACGGGGGGGGTCAGGACTTGCCCCCTCCAGCACCACAAAGGCCCATTCACTTGAGGAATGTTCCTCAGTGTCTTCCGAGTCCAGAATACTTCCACATTGAAGTCTCCGAGATATTTACCCTTTGGGATCAAGAAGGTCTCTGACTTTCTCATTATAAATCTCCATGTAGGACACTTCGACTTTAAAACTCTGCTCTTCGTTTTCCTCTTTCTGAGTTCGTTCAAAGAGTCCACTGCAAAGTCTTGGGATTAATCCAGGCTGGTCAGCTGTGCCCATCATGGTGTAAGATTTTCCAGATCCTGAAAACAGAAAACCACCATCGTTATCTACCCTTTTGCAAATTTAGATACATAAATTGCGCATGGTAAATTACTGGCACTTAGCAAAACCCCAAAACATAAACACCCAAATGCCATAATGAGATGAATAATACCTATAGAAGCTATTCTACTGGATGTGTAAAAGTCAGAAGTAAATGACCCTTGCATGTGAAAGAAAAAGTAATAAGCCTTCCTTAAACTTGTTCAAAAATGAAATAGTGGATTGGAGAGAGTGCAGGGGTTAAGGCACATGCCAAATTGACCCCTCATCAGGAACGGTCCCTGAGCACTGCCAGGAGAGACCCAACCCCCACCCTCACCTCACAAAAATAAATGAAAGAGGGTGGGAGAGATAGCACAGCAGGGTAGGACATTTGCCTTGCACATGGCCAACCTGGGTTCTATCCCTGGCATTCCATATGGTCCCCCAAGCACCACCAGGAGTAATTCCTGAGTGTAGAGCCAGGAGGAACCCCTCAGCATCACTGGGTGTGACCAAGGAAGAAAGAAAGAAAGAAAGAAAGAAAGAAAGAAAGAAAGAAAGAAAGAAAGAAAGAAAGAAAGAAGAAAAAAAAGAAATGACTAAAGCAACAGAAAATTCAAGGCCTCCTGGCAATCTTCTACAAGGGACTGGAAAGACCCATGTGTAGGACACTAGGGAGCTTGGTCCCAACCACTAACCACAGCACAGGACAGGACAGGACAGGACAGGGAGCCCCAGAGTCCCTAAAGCAAATGAACTCACTTTGGCAATCATGTGGGAACTAAAAGAACCTTTTCTGGGCCCAGAGAGATAGTACAGTGTTTGCCTTGCACATGGATGATCAGGATTCAATCCCAGCACCCCACATGATCCCACGAACCCACCAGGCATGATTTCTGAGCACAAAGCCAGGAGTAAGCCCAGAGTACTGTTTGGTGTGGCCCAAAACACCCCCGCCTGACACGAATAAAGCAAACAAACAAAAACCAAAAACCTCTTTTCTGCAATGTTATGTTCTCTGTAGTACCGGAAATGTATGATCATTAAAGGGAACTTTAAAAGCACAGGGAACTAGAAAATATTAATCACTCATAGAGCCAACTAATGCAATTCCATTTTCTTTTGCAGGATCGATGATTCTGTGAACACACAGTGTGGATGTGGTGCTGGGGCCTGACAGGCCATTTGTCCTTTACACGAAGCTACAGCCCTACAACCCAACAATACGCCTTGAAGACTTTGTCACTTGTCACTTGACCATAGTGCCCAGAACTCACACACCACTTGCTAGGTGTTATGGTCCAAGGCTTCTCTGAAGTTTTGAAAAACCCATAGGATAAGCTCCAACTGTTACGACTCTACAGGGCAGAAACAGAGGCACAGACTTCAGCGCATCAGGGGACAAGGCTGGGCTGGAAATGGGCTGACCTGGCTCTGTCCAGGCTCCAGAACCCTGAGACATTCTGCCTCAAGAAAATGTCACTACTCCCAATAATAGCAGAGTACCAGGTTTTAAGTACCAGGAGGTTTACTGCATGGCTTGGAGGCCAGCCGCACATGCTGGGGGGGAAAGGCAGCTCAGATAGAGAAGGGAGCACCAAATAAAGGGTGTTGGGAGGATCCTCCCAGGATGGGAGATGCGTGCTGAGAGTAGACTTTAGACCGAACATGACTGCCACTCAACGCCTCTTTTGCAAACCACAGCACCCAAAAGGAGAGAGAGAACAAGGGGGAATGCCCTGACACAGAGGCAGGGTGGGATGGGGGTGGGGGGGGTGGGAGGGATACTGGGATCAGTGGTGGTGGAAAATGGGCACTGGTGGAGGGATGAGTATTCGATCACTGTGTAACTGAAACCCAAGCACAAAAATTTATAAATCTACAACTGTACCTCATGGTGTTTCACTAATAAAAATCTAAATAAAAAAAGAAAAAGAAAATGTCACTAGCATTGCTCCTAGGAAGGACAGTTTTATGATATATTCTCATCAAAATGATTCCTTTACTTTAAATTGATTCTCCTTCCTGTTGACCACAGAGGTACAGAAGGAAAAAAAGTTCTCTTTTGAAGTTAAAAAAAAAGCTCAATTGTAAATGATCAGAAGCTAACAGTATGTGCTCTTTTTGATACCTTTTTCTGTTTTTGTCCTTACAGCTTAAATATATATTTAACATACCTGTCTGTCCGTAGGCAAAGACACATGCATTGTAGCCATCAAAAGCGTTCTGTAGGATATTCTCCCCAAGGCACTTGAAGACATCATCCTGACCTGAAAGAAAAAAAGAAAGAACGAAAGAAAGAAAGAAAGAAAGAAAGATAGGGAAAAAAGGAGGAGGAGTAGGAGGAGGAAGGGGAGGGGGAGAAGAGGGGTGGTAGGGGAAGGGGAGGAGGAAGGGGGAGGTGGTGGGGGAGGGGAGGAGAGGAAGAGAAAGAGGAAGAAGAGGAAGGAGAAGGAGAAGGAGAAGGAGGAGAAAAGGAGGAGGAGAAGGAGGAGGGGACGAGGAGAAGGAGGAGGAGGAGAAGAAGGGGAGGAGGAGGAGGAGGAGGAGGAAGAGGAGATTATTTAAGCCAAAATTACATCTGAGAAGCCTTTTTTGGGGGGTGGGAGTAGAAGGTTTCAACACACCCAGCAGTATTCAGGGGCAAGGTTGGCTGTAGTCGGGGGCCCCAGGACGTTCTCCAGCCCACTGAGCTACCTCTCAGGCACTAAACAGTTAAAAAAAAAAAAAGAACCTCCCCCCCCACTTTGTATTCTGTTTAGTTAAGCATTATTTACTGATCACCAACTATTAACCAGGCAGGGTGCCAAGCTCCAATCTGACCCAACTTGGATAAAAAGAACTTTCAAGGAGCAGAGAGATAGGAAGGCAGGTGGGGCACTTGCCTTGCTCGCGGCTGGCAGGTTCAAGCCCCTGCACCACATATGGTTCCCCTGAGCACTGCCAGGAATGATCTCTGAGCACAGACTCAGGAGTGAGCCCTGAGCACTGACAACTGTGGCCAAAAAAACCCAGAAAAATAGCTTTCAAAAACCCATTTTTCTGGGGCCCTGAAGATGGCTAAGTGGCTGCAAACAGACTTCCATTAAGCAGAAACCTAGTGTGACCCCCATACAGGGAGACCCCGATAGCCACCAGGGACCCAGTGAGAAGCGTCTTCAGGCAGCTTAGGAAGCGCCTAGAGCAAGCAGGGGGTACTTAAACTGACCCCCAGTACCCCACAGCTTCACGGCAGCCCTGAACACCCGTGGTCTGAGATCCCAGAAAGGGAAAATGAAAACAATTTTTCATATGTATGTTTTCCAGTTTACTTTTCTCCAAACAAGATTAATTTTAAACCTGGTAAATGCTTCCAATGACTTAGGTCTTTCAATTTATTTCTACTTAACACATGGTAGAAAATGAGCAAAAATTTCCAAATATTAAGCGTTTGAATCAATAAGCACTGATCAAGAGTTCTCTGGAATGTAAAAAGCTAATGAACTTCTAATTTAATAAACGATGCATAAATATAGGTGAAATGTCTACTGAATTTTACCAAATGCCATTCAATCAGTGCTTTGTACACTGGATGTTGGAATTAAAAATTATCACATAGAAGAATTTCCCAAACCTATCTGGCCCTTTTCAGAAAAAAAAGTCACTTAGTTTCCCCCTGGAAACCTCCCTTCTTTAAAGGAACAGTGACCCCCAAGTGCACTCGGGTCTCCTCCTGCCCCGTGGACGGTTACATCAGCCCACAGAGGTAGCATCGCCAGTCTAAGAAACACTATCTGTAACCAATCTTCCCCCTATCCATTAAGATAATTTTAAATTATTCAAATTAAAAATTAAAATACATGATTCTATAATACAGACCGGCTAGGAAAGAAGGAAGGACATGAAAAGTCCTTCTAGCTTTCTTTTCTTTTTCTTTGTTTTTGATGGGGGGTGGCTCACACAGCGCCCGGTGGCACTCAGGACTGTGCGTGAGGTGCCGGGGATGGAAGCAGGGTCCCAGGCATGCAAAGCCTGCACCCCTGCGCCCTGAACCCCCCCACCCCCACCCAGGCCTCTAACTTCCTTTCAATCACAGATACAAACAACAGAGGCACATTCTCTCCATATGTCAGCAGTCAAATGCAGCCTTGAGAAGTCTTTCAAGCACTGAGAATCTTGGACACAAAATGAAAGAAACATATGCTGCTGTATTTATTTTTGAACGCTGTGAATAGCATTCCATTATTCCTCACTTCCGAGTGAATCTACCACATTAGCACATTTCCATCATGCTTCCGATCCTGAATCAATCCTTAAAATTACCCCTGGGCCACAGAGGCCAAAGGAACCTTCACCTTCTGAAACATCTTCTGAAACTGCAACGTGGCTATATAGACAGGGATTACTTTAGAAACGAGGAGGGAGGGGACAGCACTGAGAAAAAAAAGAAAAGAAGGGCCCTTGCTCCACTCCTGACGTGAGACAATGATCATGGAGAAGAGAGAGAGAGAGAGCAATAATTTGAGGGGTCACCCATTCCTCTCCAAGAAAAAGAGAAAAGGCGGAGCCAATGAGACAGAGCAGGAGTAAGGCACTTGCCTTGCATGTGGCCCACCCTAGCTCCAACTCCAGCGCTGGAAATGTTCCCCTGAGCACCACCAGAGGTCACTCCTGAGCACTGCTAGTTGTGGGCCAAATCCCCCCCAAAATCGAATAATTAAAAAAATAAGTGAAGGGGGCTGGAGAGCTAGCACGGCCAGTAGAGCGTTTGCCTTGCACGCGGCCGACCTGGGTTCGATTCCCAGCATCCCATATGGTCCCCTGAGCACCACCAGAAGTGACTCCTGAGTGCAGAGTCAGGAGAACCCCTGTGCATCGCCAGGTGTGACCCAAAAAGCAAAAAATAAAATAAAATAAAATAAAAAATAAGTGAACAGCCGGGCTGGGGGCAGCCTCTAGTGACTGCAGCTGTGGCAGGAACTGGCCGTCCAGCAGGCAGCGGAGAGTATGTGCCACTCTATTCTGAATCAACGGCCTGTGACCTGTGTGATATGTAATGATTCTCTTGACTTCCATTTCAAATGTATATTTTGTGATTATTACCATGAGCTGGGCTGGAGCGATAGCACAGCGGGTAGGGCGTTTGCCTTGCACGTGGCCGACCCGGCCAACTCGGGTTCAATTCCTCTTCCCCTCTCAGAGAGCCCGGCAAGCTACCGAGTATCTCGCCCGTACGGCAAATCCTGGCAAGTTACCCGTGATGTATTCGATATGCCAAAAACAGTAACGACAAGTCTCACGATGGAGACATTACTGGGCCCGTTCGAGCAAATCGATGAACAACAAGAGGACAGTGCTACAGTGCTACCATGAGCTACATACAACAAAGGCTGGATATCCTCACAATAATAAATTTTCAGGATTCATGGGACCATCACACACACACACACACACACACACACACACACACACACACACAAGTCAATACGGAGAGAAAGGAAAACTCTGACAAGTAAGGGATTTCCTCAGAGGTGGCATCAGAAAGTTTGGTTAGATGCCTCTTCAAATGCCCAGTACTCACTGCCCTTGCTCTGGGCTGCCTCTGCAGACCATAGCTAAAGCAGTCTCGGAGTTTCTGGTTCTGGTTGAGGCCTATGGGTGTGTATGAGTACAAACTCTCCACTCCGGGTGGGAGAGACAGAACTGCAGGAAAACTTGTCTGGATGTGACTGATCCAGGTTTGATCCCCAGCACCCTCAAGGCTGCCAGAAGTAATTCCTGAACACAGCCAGGAGCGAGCTTGGAGCACTGCCTCCAGGTGTAGCTCAAAAGCCAAAAACAACCCCTCAAAATCCTCTATACCCTATAATCTGATTTTATTATATTAAGAACTCGATTTTTTCTCACTTCTCAAGCAATGGACCTTGACAGTCCGGGAGCCCTCCCAACAACGCTCAGCACGTTGTGTGGACCCTGAGGATTGGGGTTCAACAGGCAACCAGGGTCATGCCCACTGGTGTGTGGGGGCACGTGGTGCCAGGGAGTCTTGTGCATGCCAGGCAACTGCTCCACCACCTGACCTATATCCCCAACTCTATATCGTTCTTATAATTAACCAAAAATTAGGGGCTGGTGGATAGTACCGTGGATAAGATGCTTGCCTCACACATGGCTGACCCGAGTTCAATCTCTTTAATTTACTTAAAGAATAAAATGTAAATTTATGCACAGCATGTGGAACCGATAGGGTTCCCCGAGCCTGCCAGGAGTTATCCCTGAGTGCTGAGTCCTGGGCACTGCCAGGTGTGGCCCAAAAACAAACACACAAAAAATACAAAAGAAAATAAAGGCACAAAAATAATGATACTTTATGGGGAAAACAATCTACAATATTAGCAGTTAATAGGATGCTATGCTCTATTACCTGCATACTTTTCTTTAACAGATTCATCCATAGACCAGAAACAATGATCATATGCAAACACCTGTTGAAAATGAAAGAAAAAGAGTGCGTGTTAACAAAACCTTTGACACAATTATGGTAAGAACAAGGGCATCAAGTTGACAATATGTTCATAATTGTTAAATTAAATCAACTTCTGTCTCACAATGCATGTTATTTTGGTACAGTCTGACTGTAGACAACCAAGTACCTACAGACAGCAGATGGATTTAATTCACAGATAACTCTTCGTAATATCAAGAAAGAAGTTAGAAAGCAAAATACATACTATGCCATCTATGTTTATATATGTATGTACACATATATACACATACACATATGTACACATATGCATTCCTATTTCTAGAAATGAAATGTGCTTCTTCATGATGAGATTAGAGATCCCTGCTTTCTTCTTTGTGTTTTTGTATTCTATTTTTACTTTTTTGGGGGGGGTCACACTCAGCGATGCACAGGGGTTACTCTTAGCTCTGCACTCAGGAATTACCTGTGGCAGTGCTCAGGGGACCATATGGGATGCTGGGAATCGAACCCAGGTCAGCCATGTGCAAGGCAAACGCCCCACCCGCTGTGCTATTACTCCAGCCCCTATTTTCACTTTTTTTTTTAAATCAGAGAAACAAAAGGCATACTCTGTTGGTGGCGCAAGTGATAATTTTTCTTCAAGTAATAATTTTTGAGGGACTGCACCATCAACACTCAGGGGTCATCCCTAGCTCTGAGCTCAGGAATTATTCCTGGTGCTTCAGGGGAACATCTGGGATGCCGGAGATCGAATGTGGGTTGGCTGCATGCAAGGCAAGTGCTCTATCCACTGTACTGTCCCTCTGGCACCCAAAAGACATTGCTAAAGAATAAAGTGTAAATTTGATTACAGGATGTTGAAAAAAGGAAGGTTAGTAAGTAAATAGCCAGCAAAGTTATTTTAAGAAAGTATTATGCACCCATGTACAATATGTTGCTTTCAAATGACAAAAATCTGACACGTTATGAAAGTCTGGATTCTGTGAGCACATCTGTAAATGACCTATAGACATTCAATGAGTGAGGGTCACAGGTAGTATAGAGGACAAAGCCAGGAGCAGTCCTGGAGCAGCTCCGGTGATGGCGAAAAATCCCCTCCCCCAAGATAAAGAAATTTACAAAATAAATAATGAGAGAAAAATACTTGAAAATATTGGTGGTGGTTAAGGGTACCTGGGATAATGCAGATGGTTTTGTTTGGATCTTTTGCTACTTCCTAAAATACACATATTTTTAAATAATCTTTTTCAAGTTGTTTCACTGATTATATTTTACATTTTCTGGATTTCTACTGTTTCGGGATCTACTTGTTTACATTTAATAATTTAGTCTCTGAGGTCAGAGAGCACAGCAGGTAGGGTATTTGCTCCCCAGAACCCCATATGGTCCCGGAGCAGTGAGCCCCAAGCACAGAGCTAGGAGTCAGCCCTGAGCACAAAGCCAGGAGTAAACCCTGGGCACCGCCAGGTGTGGCCCAAAAATCGAACAAAGAATTTAGTCTCTCAGAAATCTAAGTGTAATTGTTCTGGAACACATTTCAGTTGGCATTTCGCTTTCCACTTTGGCACTTCGCTGCTACACTTGCTGAAGACAGAATTCTTCTGTGTCCTTCGGAGCGAGTGCCGGCATCTGAGGGGAGTCTGTGCTCCCTGGTCACCCCCCTCCTGCTTCTTCCTGCGGCCATTGCGCCAGACCAGGCGCCATGGCCTGGATTCCAGCCTTCCCACGCCCCAGGGGGCTATTGCCCCCAGACTGTACTCAATGCTGGTAGCCCACACCCTTCCAGCCTTCACTCAGGGACAGCCTGCCAGGGAGCTCGAGTCCAGCCCTCCAGGAGGAGTCCTGGGGTAGCGCTAGTCCCATATCTTCCAGAACTCCAAGCACTGAGTCGGAGGCCCAGAGAATACAGCACTCTCACCCCCCCACCCCCCCAGTCAGCGTGTTGTTTCTAAGTGTGACAACAGGAGGCCACAATTTTAAAGTATCTCCTGTGAGTTACATTGTAATGGTAAGTCACAGGCTTGCTCAGGAGGGATTCCCAGGAGCAGTGAGGTACCCCGAGGTCACTCTGGGCCATGCTCAGGAGACGATGCAGTGCCAGGGAGCAAAGCCCATGTCCCGCGTGCAACGCATGAGCTCCAAAAATTTGGGCCCTCTCCCAGGCTGCAAAATCAACTTCTCTTTTTTCCTTTTAAAGAAGGGAAATGAGGGCCAGAGGAGCAGGCAGGGCACGTGCCTTGCACACGGCTGACCCGGGCTCAATCACGGCACCTCACGGGGCTCCCCAAGTGGCCCTCTGGGAGTTGGTCCCTGATCAGAGAGCCGGGAGTAAGCCCTGAGCACTGCTGGTGTGACTCCCCTACAAAGAGAAACACTAAAAAAAAAAAAAATTGCCACATCTATTCATATCCTAGCAATAATAGAGAAGGGGATTAGAATTCAGCCAGATTCCAAAGCTAAATTCCAAGAATGTCGATAAATATCTGCACTTCCTGGAAAGTTCCTGCAGAGAAAGTAACCTCAGAGAACGGCCAGCCGATTCACAATCTGAGTCCATGTGACCCTGTGGCATACCGAGATGGTCCCTGAGGGCCAGACCCCTCTCAGCAGCAAATGTGGGCTCAGAACTGCCATGGCAAGGTCATTGCCTGAGGAAGCTATGGGCCACGGCAGGGGATGTGGGTCTAAGACTGTGTCCCCAGCTGTCCTGGGCCCTCCCGGAGGGGCGTGGGCGAGTCTCCCCGGACAGTTTGGAGCCACCACCTCCAAGCCATCCCGGGAGCAGCAGCACAAAAGGATTCTGTGTATCCTTGGCAGGAGACTCGCCCGAGCCGGGCAGAGTACACACGCGGCTTTTCCAGAACCGCCAGCCCCGCCTGGGCTAACAAATGGCTGACTGGCAAACTGTGACAGCTGGCATTGTGTTTACAAAAGGAACAGAGGAAATGTTTCTGTAGAGAAAATTACTAGCACTTCAAAACTATGCACGTCATATATCTTTACAAGTACTGAATAAGAAATCGTATCTCTTACCTTTGGCTGATTTCTGGGATCCCCCAAGAGACAGCATGGTTCCATGAAAGAAAAGAAAGAGAGTTAAGTTGTTTTTTTTTTCCAGCTTAGAAGCTTCTTCTTGAAGGGCAAAATGATCGCTCACATTATGCAAAGGTTTATTAAAAATACACAATATTGCTTTCTGTGGTTGCAGAGATCCCGGCGGACTAAGGATGGCAGCTTTCGAGCCTCCCCTGAAAACGCCAATAAAATTCAAAGCATTTTATTCTATGTGTCCTCGGCAGGACACACCCTCCCATACCTGCCAAAAAACAATATACAATATTAACTCTGAACTCAAACAGCAATTTCAAATGAAAAGTAAGCTAGTATCTATTAACTCGCAAGTTGGAGAGTTAATTACAGAAAACTAACTTGCATCTCTCAAGTAGATGATTTGCACACAGATAGCAATTTAACCGCTCGGGCCCCTCCTTGTGCATTTGGTGATCCCAGTCCCTACAAAGAAGCCGCCCTTGTCCCCTGACATCACTTGCAGGGAAAGCAGCAACAGACTCTGCATCTATAAAGGCCTCTCTCCAGAACATGACTCGGTTCTGGCCAGAGAAAAGGGGGAGATGAAAGGAACCATTGCCCTGCTGCGAAGAACCTCTTCTTTATTCTCTCTCAGCCTTGGTCTCCAGCTTAGGAAACTCTCCCTCCCAAACTGCCTGTGGCTCGGGGTTCAGAAACGGAACTTATGCAGGGCTGGGCTGATGATGGCTCAAAGCACCAGGGCACGAGCTTGGCAAGCTGAAGCCTGGGTCCCATCCCTGGCCCTGCCTGCATGGTCCCCAGAGCAGCTCTGGGAGCGACCCCTGAGCAATGAGTGAGAAGTAGCAGCTGAACATCACCAGGGATGACTCAAACCCACCCCCCAAAGAAAGGAATGAAAGGAGCCCGACACAGTATGACTGGGAGGCCACCCCACTCAGAGGGGCCCTGTGAGAGAAGCAGTGTGGTCAGTTTGCCAGCTGGTAGCACCAGGCCAGGGCCAGCGCCGGGCCCTCTTTCTCTCCACCTGCTTCCCCCTCCCTGGTATGTAACGCACTGGCCCACTGGCATGCGGGCATGTGAGAGCAAACTGCAGATGGCCCGGTCAGCCCCAAACACTTCAGCACTGTGACACCCCCAGACAGTATCCAATCGGAAGGCACACGAATAAAGGAAAGGACTTTTGAAATTGGAGTGAACCGGCCAAGATAACTGGAGCTTTAGGGGTGGCCAGCGCTTCCTGAAGAGTCCGAATGCCAGCTCGCAAGTGAAACCGGAAGGAACAAACAGAACCTGGAAGTGCGGGATTCCTCCCCCCCCCCCCCCCCCCCCCCCCCGCCGCAGGACATCCTGCATGTGCGGGAGAGCTTTCCTCCTCCAAGGGTTGGGGACGTGCTGTCACACCAGATGCACCAGCACCGAGTGCTAGCGTGGTGCTAGCCGAGAGGTGTTGGGATGAAAGCCAGTATGGCTAAATACAACAGGAAATAATCGCAACAGGAATGAGAAGGGGGGAAGTGTTCAAGCCTCTGGCCCATGCTCTCATCTCTCCAGTCTTCCTGTTGTTGTTGTTTGGGGGGACACTCCCAGGGACCGAACCCTGGGTGTCACACATGCAAGGCAAGTGCTTTAGCGCTGAGCCACACCCCCACTCTTCGGAGCCTAAAAAGTGAGGTTGATTCTTTGCCACCACTGACGGTGAGGATAGCGCCAGCCCATTGGAAAGGCCCATGTTAGGCCAGAGACGTCACCGACACCTCCTGACACCCTCGCTGCTGTAAGACACTACGACAATTCCAGAATCCCCAAGTGAGAAACGGAGGCAAAGGAAGGCTGACTGACAGGCCACAGCCCGGAAGGATGGAAGCGGCAGCACAAAGGAAGTCTTCCAGCCCCAGCTCCATGCTCTGCCCCAAACCAGGCAGAGGAAATAGCCCTAGCCACGATCCTCCAGGCCTAAGGACCTGCAAGTGGCACGGAGACACCCGTTCTTCCGCTACACCCACTTTCCCCTTCCTCTGTGATGCCCGGGGAGACATCACCACTCAGGGCTGACGCCAGTGGAAGCTCACTTATTCATCACATTCATTAGACAGAAACTCCAGATTGTTCTACAGAGGAAAAAGACATTGGGTGGGGGGCATGGATCTTTCACACTGAAATAAAAACCATTTACACGAAATGCAGCTCTTCCTCAGAGACACCAACAAAGGTGATGTTCCGCATACGACGCACAGTGGGAGAAACCAGGGGGCGAATCCAAATTCAGAATATAACCGCAGAGAGCGACAAGCCGGGCAATTAATTACAGAGCTAAGTTTCCAGCCAGAGATTCTAATGGCTACAAGAATAAAGCTCAAGTAACCCAGAGGACCACTGGAAACCCAGAGATGTAATTACAGCTCTGTACATAAATAAATGAGCAAATTAATTAATTAAACAAAGCTTTTCAATGGGTAGCTGCAATCCAGCAAGACAAAGCCTCACACACCCTTAGGTCCCCTGGAGAGAAACCTCAGCCCCCCAGATCCCAGGCGATGTGGGGAGCAAAGACCAAGAGCAGCTGGTGATGGGCAAAGGCCCGGCTGGTCCCTCGGTGAGCTCAGTGGGTGGAGTTCTGGGGGTGCTGCTGATAAACTCATTTCGGAAGACTATGAAACTGGCGTAAGAGTCCCAACACAGCACAAGAAATTCCTCATGAAACTTTATCATTCACAGTATTGCAAATTGCAGTGCCAAAGATTTTTTTTAAATCACACCTGTGTACCCTGCCTCAGCTTCCCCAAATGTTAACACCTTCATACCACGACATTGTGACAAATGACCGTCCACAGGAGAGCAAATAAACAGTCATTGAGCAGTCACCTCCGGTGCCCATCGTGGCTTCCCCTCAGGTCTGCTCTGCCCCTGGTCAGCGATGGCACCTGGCTGGCACATCTCCTGAGCTGGGAGCGGCTGTTAACTCTGGAAGGTGGGTTTGTGAGCTAACTAGCGCCCCTTCCCACCCCTCCTTCCTTCTCTTCACTCTCCTGGGTTAGGGGCTGCCGGTCCCAGCTCATTTAAATAATAAATCACACCAGGAGCACTTATTTCTGACCAGATCTAAGGAAAGTCAGTGATGATATGTTGTATAAAAATCATCTCTTTCGATAAGAACACCTTTTGGTGAGGCGGTTCTCCAGACAGTACTCAAGGCAGGAGGGGGTTGCTCCCATGACCTTCAGTCACCCAAGTGCTGCTGCTGCTGCTTTGGGGGTTGGTGGTGCTGGGGAGCGAGAAAAAAGGGCCATTGGATGCCAGGGATGACACTTGGGGCCTTGTGCGTGGGAGGAAGGTGCCCTGGGCCCACGCTACCTCGCAGCTCCGTTGGCAGTTATTATTAACAGTCCCAATCACGGCCAAAGCAAAGTCGATGCTGGACGTAAAAGTAAACCACATGGTCCCAGCTTGGCAGAGGTGGTCCATCCCGCCCAGCTGGCCAAGTATTGCAGTAGTGGCCCTCAGCCCCCTGAACACGGACTGGGAGGACCCCCTGCAAAAACAAACCCTCCAAATAAACCAAGTGGCTCAGAGAGAAAGCAGCAGCAGAGGGAGGTCGCGGCAGAACAGTGAGTCCGTGTCGGGAGAGGACAAGCTCACTTCTCTGGCACCATAACAGGAGGGCAGAGAAGCATCGGCTGAGGCCAGCATGGAGGAGATGAGCAGTTAACACGGAATTCCTTGTATGGCTTTGGATTCACAGCAAGAAGAGATGAAGCGGCCAACAAGTGCCATTTTCCTTTTGATTCACTTGCCCGTTAATCTCGGCAGGGTCGGGACCTTACAGGGAGCTGCTACCCTGCCCCCCGTTTCAGCAGTACTGTCGGGAGGCCCCATGAACCAAGGGAAGAGTTGGGCGGCCCCGCACGCCCATATCATAGCCATAGGGGACTCTCCTGGCCGGAAGTGGGATTCCTATGTCCCATCCACCTCCAACAGTGCTTCATTCTGTCCTGCCACATAAGAAAAAGCCAAGTCAGCTTCTGTCTTAAGAATCCTTGGGGTCTAGGGGGCCCAGAGAAATAGGACAGAAGCAAAGTGCTTGCCATGCAAGCAGCTATGGTAGGAGTGACCCAGGCCCAAATCCCCGGCACCATACTTGGTCCTCTGAGCACTGCCAGGGCCAAGAATAGCTCTAAGGGGCCAGAGCTATAGTTCAGTGGGGAGGGCATTTGCCTTACATGTAGCCGACCCAGGTTCAATCTCCAACATCCTCTAGCACCGCCCGGAGTAATTTCTGAGTGCAGAGCCAGGAGGAACCCCTGAGCACTGCTTGGTGTAACCCAAAAAGCCAAAAAAAAAAAAAAACCCTGAGTACCCCCAGGTGCCCCCAGTACCCCAAGCCCCGCCCCTTTCCCCAGAAGAGGCCTCCCAGGGGGCTGAAGCGTAATGAGCTTAGCACAGGCTCTGCATATGGGAGACCTAGGTTTAATTCCTGGCACCACATGGTCCTCCAAATGCTGCCAATATTAAACCTCAAGTCTCCACCTCCCCCCAAAAAACCTCCAAAAAAACCTTCCCAGAGCCAGAGTGAGAGCTCAAAGGGCTAGTGTATGTGCTCTGCAAGGCCCCTTAGCACCTCGGTGAGGGACCCCCTACAATGCGCTGGGAGTGTTCTTGAGCACCAGCGGGTATGGCCCCCAAGCTAAACACAGAAGGAAAGAAGAGATCCCTTGGATGAGATCTCCAGTCCAGAGAGAGGTTCCCCCATACCCAGTCTGCTCAGGCATGGGACCTCTCTCACGCGGACCCTCTCTCCATGGCCAGGGGCTCTGCAGCAGGCAATTCCTTGTGCAGCCACTGGCCTGCCCCTCTGGTCTCCTCACAGCTCCCTCTCCTCCTCCCCCACTGGCCAACACGCCTGCAGTCCTCCCTCCCTCACACTGGCCTCTCACCCACCAGCCTCAGACACGATTTCCTTCCTGCCTGGATCTCAGATTGCGCCCTTCACTCAGCATG